TTTTTGTTTTTTGTTTTCTTGTTCTTATTTCCCGCCTTCGGATTCAGCTTTATCACTGGCTCTATAATGTTGAAGAGGTAGAAAAATCCCCGATCCAGATAGACAATGTCTTCAAAAATGGCATCAAAATCCATAGACGGTCAGAACTTATCTGTCACCGTCTCCCCAAAAACCCATCATCCCCCCTCTGACGTAGGGGAACGACAAATGATCAGATGCAAATGTCAAAGAGATCGCCTCGCTTGCAACCAAAGAACACCAAACACAATAATGAATGGAGGTGGCTGAGCAGTATCGGCAACATCTTGGCAACTAATCTCTTTCTTGCGTTTCTCCTCCCCGAAGCTTAAGCTCGAGCCAATCCGGACGGTCTTCGTGGCGCAGGATGCAAATAAGCTATGCTTCAGTATGAGTGATTAATTCCCCTCGGAGTTTCAGGGTCTGATTAGTAGCCGTCGTAAACGAAAGTACCACCAAGTACTAAGTACTCAGTAGTGGCTGTACTATAGTCGTGCTCCATATTATGGCGGGCACCCGTCGTAAGCGAAAATAACGTCGCCGGGATGCGCTGTGGACAACCGGACGTGGATTGGCTCGTGGTCCAACTAAGCTACGCTAAGGTTGCTAAGCTAAATAGGCAGGTGCTTCGAGTTGGAGTGCAGCACGATGCATGAGGCATTTTATTCGCCTCGCGTTATAATTACTACATGATTATCTGGAGTCGTGGATCGGGTTGGCCGTACTTGTCAGATTAAGTTCGGAAGTTTTGTGACAACGTGCGTGCACGGGTCAATTTTTTTTTTCTTCCGTGCCTAGGTAGTATTCATTTGCTGCTGGTAATGCGTATTTGTCTTATGATTCAATTGTTTTACTAAATAGCCCCCGTTCCCGTGGCTTTCCTCTCTAACCTCTTGACGCGGCTAACGCTACATTGAATGATTCATTACCTTCTGTCTCAGAATCTCGTATCCCATGACTTGCCTTCCTCGGATACCGCCGAACATAGCCCTATGAATATTCCTTAGTCAGCGCTACATGCTAACTATGCTCGGACTGCTGTCGAATACAGCGACAAGTTGTAGATCCTTCTTGTGGCATGAACCCACTAGAGGAACCAGCAAAAACTTGGCTTCTCCACTTGAAAATCCTGCAATTGGAATCATTGCACGCGACGACTATCGAGTGATCCTGTTGGATTGTTACATCTCCGATAACCCTGCACTACCATGTGCCGCTCAGCATCACGGCCATCCGTCGGAATACGAGTCGCCCTCACAATTGTTAATTGAAGGTGAAAATGGATTAGGATATCAATGAAGACAGCATGCACACTCTTATTTACCACTTCAGCATGCTCTATGAATGCTGAAGTGGTCTCATCCAGTTAGATGAGGTTACACTCGGGACCCGGCTCCTTACCGTATCCGGCGTATTCAGTTTCCCATCGAGGCCTCGGACGCTGCTGATATTCCGGCCGGGCAGCTGCTCATCTTTTTTCTACTTCTACCCCAGTCAACGCTTGATCCTCATATATTTAGATCAAATGAACTGCCCGACTTTGATGACTCTGACCCGTCAGCTACCGTAGAAAGGGCAACAAATGCAAAGGATCACCATGCAATATTACTCAGTTGTGCGCCTGTGAAATAGTCTGGTGCTTCGATGAGCGTGCCTGCGTGGATTTCCCTGGGCTGACTTTCAACAAGGCACGCCGTTCCTTACCTTCGGCCTTGACACTGAGATGGGTTTGACAAGTGGGAGATTCGTACTCTGTCTCATTTCATTTCTATTCATTCGATGCACTCAAATAATGGCTGACCCTAACCCTAAATCTGGGGAGTCAAGCTCTCTACTGCTAGAGACGAGCTTTGGAGAATTGCGCTCTCCACGCGATATACAGTGGCATAGGTGTGGTTCTTATCAGTGGACATGGAAAGAGAACAAGTTACAACACTCTAGTCCATCTCTCACCTCGTTTTAATGGTAGCTCGGGAATGTGCGTCCAAGGATGACCCTATGCAGTCAGAGGGGTTATGGCACTGATGCAGAGGTACAAATACACTATACAATCCTCTGCACCAATAATACTGGTACATTATTGATTTACAGAATTTATTTTTGCTGTATATCTTTTCATTGTTTCCCTGTCTTATAACCCAGTTGAGCTAATAAAAGTTCTACAGTATTTTACGAACTGTAGCAGAGCACCACTGACTGGAGGCGGCACCATTCACCGGTGTAGGAGAGCAACAAGCAGCTGGAGCAGGGTGGGAAAAAGGTCGGTATGATCCTACCTAGAAGTTTCAGTTTACGTATAGACGATAGATGTCCAGTTGCGAACCCCCCCTTCCTCAAAAAAATAACGATATGAATCGCCAGCCTAAAAAGACATGTACCTGAGTGACCGATTCAATATAAACCCCGCAACGAATCAACAGTCCACTGCATTCACGCGAACTTCGAATGGTTTCTTGGTCGCCTGGGTGCCATCGTTCTCTTCAAGGGCTCGCTTCTTTTGGGTCTTTTCTGGCTGCAGAAGTTCTTCAATCTTGACAACAGCTGTCAAATCGCACTCGATTGTGTCCATCTGAGATTTCTCGACCCAGTCCTCTGTAAAACCGCCTCCAAAATCGATTACCCAAGCATTGTCTTTGCTGTCAATTAAGATATTCGCGGCCTTAGCGTCGCCCCAGACGATACCAGCCTCGTGTAGTTTTGTCACAGTTGTGGTAATTTGCATTCGCCACTTCTCTCTTAAGCTTGAGGATAAAAACATATCTGACATCAGAATACATTCCAAGTTCTCAGTTCCGCATTCAATCCACGAGAGAAGCAGCCCAATTAGTACTGAGCCGCTTTCATCGCGAACAACACCATGCAAAGCTGGAACTCTGATCCCATCACAGGGCAGAATATCGTCCAGCTTCCTATAGATGTTGATTTCTCGTAGAGCAGAAGGCTTGTTTCCTGAATGTAGAGGTTTGAAATGATAAACAGTTCCAGCAGCAGAGACCTTTCTTGGGAACTGAGACAGTGATTCAACCATACTTTGGCATTCAATTTTGATAACCTTTGGTCGGACCGAAAGCCATTGTGACGATAGTTTCCTTTGGTCAACAAAAATACCATCTGAGATTGGCTGGGAGGAACATTATAGTCTAAGAACGGCTGTAGTTTACCGTCTTGGCCATATACTTGATATCGATAAGTCTCAGGGGATAGATATTCCTGGAGTGTCATCTGCTGTTGATTCAAGGCTCCAGCTTCTCAAAGATCTCAAGGAAGGGCTCCATAACCCACTCTTGTAGGTCCTGCTCTGCCTCTTCAGAAACATCAAGGTCGTCATCATTACAAACATCTTCCATCAACTCGAGGTATTCCTGAAGGACTTCTGGTGTCTCTTCGAGGTTTCTGGGGGACAACTGGATGCAGAGGCATTTCCCTTTGCTTATCACATTAATCGCTACTGTTTTGTCCTCGGGATGTAGCAAAATGTCTTTAAATGACCAAAGGGGGGTTTCTCCTGGTTCTTCTGGTTCCATGGTATGGCAGGTATTAGAGTGTATTGTATCATATGTGATAATATGGATCAAGGGATAGTGCAATATTTCTTGTTAACAAGGAAGTACCCGAGGGAGGCGGTGTGCTACTTCTTTTGAGAAACTTAGCGATGTAGTTGCCGTCTCGTAAACGGACTTTTGCTCTTAGCAGGAGCCAACCTTGATATCAATCAGGCGATAGTATTATACAATCCCTCTAACCAGTTTATATTAACAAGATCCCCGATCTCTCATCATTGTGTAAGTGGGCATGCCCTATTTCGCTAGCTCCTATCTATAACTTAAGGGGAACAGAACAAGAATCTAATTTAGTTCCTGAGGGCCAGATAGTAGATTTATAGGCATTCGAGGAGCCCTATATCTTTACAGGAATGATCTCCAGGGGATGGTCGATCGCTAATTATGGAAAATGCGCACCGTAAGGGATGCTGGTCCGACATATGGATTTGTGATTTCATGTCGCTACTACACGCAATCTCATAGAAATTGGCTAAAAATGTTGCTGGTAGCCTGGCTAACGCAAGAATCACGCCATACCGCTCCTTGCTTCTCTCTTTCGCAGCTTGGCGACACGCGTACGGACTCTACGGAGTAGCTGTTGGCAATTGAACGGTAGGGACAGGAAATGAAAGGCAGAAAGCTCGACCAGATTGTTGATGAGTCTCGTGCATCACATTCGCTGGCTCACGCAGCTACCTAATGTAACTAATCCTTTTCAACCCAATTTCTTAAAGCTGACTACGCATATTGGCGTCAGTGTAAGTTGGTATAGACTCAAGGATACATGAATCTATGAGGATTGCATCCGGTACATTTTCATTCGCCAGAAATTTGGCTGCCCTGTCATCTAGGTTTCTAATCTATTTAGCTTTTAAACAACACTCTGCTTGCATGGCAATCTCTAGCGATATATGGTTGTTGCCCCTTCCAGAGGCCAATCAAGGGGCCTTGCATCGACAACATCAAGTAAAAATTCGGCATGAAGTCTTCCGCCACATTCTAGGACATGATAGCTCGGATAAAATCACATGAAGATGATCTATTTGATCAGCAACGGGCTAGGCTTGCAATGTGGGTTCTCCCAGCTTCTAGACAATGCGGACAACCAAGCCCGTTGCGGTCCGGAATTGGCTTTGCGTCGGAGGGAGTTACGGTCCACTTTACCAGCCTGGAAAACCGATTAATAAACCATCTGTGACTGATAGGGAAAACTTACCACAGAGATGGGGAGAGCGTCTAGGAACTCCACGCCAGCCCGTGCATGCATTTCAGAGGGTACTTCCCTTTCCATCCACTCCAAGAACAGATCCGGTGTAAGCGAGGAATTCTGCTCCGTGACGATGTAGGCACGTGGGATGAATTCGCCTTCATTCGGACTGCTCAGTGTCAGGAATCCGCAGAAGGCCAAAATAAGTTGAACTCATTATACTGACAGCACGACGGGGACAACCACCACTTCCGAGATTTCCGGATGGACTGAAATAGCCTGTTCAATCAGGATTGCTGAGACGTGTCCGCCGTTCACTTTGAAAAGGTCCTTTGAACTATTAGCTGCGTTGACCAAGCAAGTAGCCGGGGGACTGTTTTCACCTTCTTTCGCCCGCAAATATACCATCTGTTCTTTTCATTCACCTTCCCTAAGTCACCTGTCTTGATCCATCCATCATCGCTGAAAACTTCCTTCGTTTCTTCTGGGTTGTTGCGATATCTCCTCATGCAAAAGGGGTTTTTGATATATATTTCCCCAATCTCATTTTTTGCCAGAACCCTACCTTTGTTATCAACCACTTTTGCTTCAAGGTTGGGCAGAAGTTCTCCGATTGTTTCATCAGTCTCCGGCACGGTTGGATCAGATGCAAAATGAATTCCGCCCCTAGATTGGTTATTAGACAAGGACAGTTCAACTTAGAACCTGGTGCACATACTCGGTCATCCCACAGACAACCTCACAGGTGGACCCATGTAGCTTCTGCCACGCATCACACATGGCGTATGGAATATAAGCACCTCCAGTTCGCATGCTTGTCACACTGGAGAAGTCGGCGCCATCCGTGTGAGCAAGCAATTCTTGCAGGATGTGCTTCGGTGAATGCAAGGCTGTGGGCCGCAACTGTTCAACTGCCTTTGCATACCTTTCCACGGAAAACCCTCTCATGAAAATAGTCCCATACCTGGCCTTGAGAGGAGCGAGAATTCCGTACAAAAGGAACCCGACACCATAGGGAACAAAATTGCAGAGCCAGCGTTCTTTCTCTCTCCTTTTCAGGTTATAGCGATAGATCAACTGCTCTGTGTTCCCAATGAGGCCATAATGTGTTCGTTCTGCAAGTTTTGGGCTGCCAGTAGACCTATGAATAGTTAGGTTCGTTTCTCCGTTTGTAGTACGCCGCCAGAAGCAAATAAATAGCATACCCTGATGTACTAATGACCAATGCTGGTGCGGTCTTCAGACGTTGGTCACATATTTTCGGCCACGAAAACCCCTCGTTGAAATCGAATAGAGAGCTCCAATGCTCATATCTGTACTTGGCGTCTCCCTTGTGTGTGGAGGTATCCACCACATACACATGCTGTGGGGGATGAGCCATCTGTGACAGAATATCGGGGATATCCTCCAGACTTTCTGGGCCAACGAACAGATACTCGGGCTTGAGAGATTCAAGTCTAGACACCGACCCGCCCATGTGGAGAGGCGGGGAGTTGTAAAAGACTGCTCCAGCCCCCAAGGATCCTAGTAGCGCGATATAGAAGTTGTAGTTCCATAAGCCATATAGAACAACCTGTTTGCCCTCAGTCTCCCGCATCCCGCATGCTAGAGCCTTCGTGAAGGTCTTCAATTGGTCGAACGTATAGCCAGGGAAGCTGGGATCATCCGCCGACAATAAGAGTGGATCTTCGGGGTTCCAGTATTCATTTGTTGGTTCCGAGTCGAAAATGTATTCCACCAAATTGGTACACGGAATGGGAATATAGAACCTGGAGCTGACAATAGCTTTGCTGTTTTGCATTTTGCTGAATCTCTGATGGAACTGTGAAATGCTAATAAGCGTAATATTTGCTTTTGTATCGAACCTCGACTGGCTTGTGTCAGGTCTATGCTTCATCCTCATAGATAGAGGAGAGTTCGAGGTTATAAGCTATCGACACCAGTTTATACATTCCACATTCTCTGGACCCTTTTCTTAGCTGCATCAGATTACTTGTGTTTGCCCGAGCTCCATCGAGCAATCAGACCCATCATAAACACTAGGTCCGGCGATCATTTACGCACACTTACGACAAGTGGTGCGTGGCGCGCATATGGTTGCGCAGAAAACTTTGATTATTGGTAGATCTCTGCATGCTTCATGCATGCCAAGATCCCTTAATACTATATTACTTTATACGGCGTAGAAAAGCTCGCTCTTTGTCTTGGCAAGGGATGAGGTTGGACTCGCATCACTCACCAAATATACGGTATAGCGAGTCAATTCGTGGTAATGCCTTCGACCTTAGCGTTGCGTAGTGGATTCCAACTTGCGTTTGCGAAATCTTTCCAAGACACCCTTACTGCGGATGAAAAATGGTAGATATCAAGAGAACGGAGCCCAGAAGAATGAAAGCAAACTTGCGAAAATCGTGGCCTCATAGGGAAAGACATACATCGGAAAAACAAGGGTACGTAGTACGTACCCCCTGAGTAAACTAGTGTAGCCTAGCTTGCATCCCTTCCCTCGATGCAGTCAATGGAAAGGCTGGTAAGAGATGAGCCAGGGACTCTTATCCTGAGGAAATGACTTCCTTCTTTCCTTAGAAATTTTGGTGCCTGCTATTAAGATCCTCATTTGTTCCAATATGTCAAAGATGGCTCAATCAAAATCCCTGTCGGCAATTAGTGATGTACCTCTCGAAGAGCACCGAAAAGCTGACAACAGCGAGGAAGAGAATAACACCAGTTCTGAGGCAAACCCCAAAGAACAATATACTGTCCTATCCGAGAAGGAGAAGGTTTTCTATATATTCATCGCTTCTCTTGTTACACTTCTAGGTCCTGTCTCCTCTGACATCTATTACCCGGCTCTCGACCTTTTGTCCAAAGATCTGAATGTCTCCAAGACTCAGATGAGCCTCACGATCACTGCCTTTATGGTAAATGCTCCGTCTACAGCCACCCGTTTTGAAAAGCTGATGATTAATTGAAACCTGCAGGTTGCACAAGCAGTAGCCCCGCTCCTAACAGCGAGCGTCTCCGATATGAAAGGACGCCGACCAGTCTTTGTTGTGTGTCTTACAATATACATGGTCGTTAGCGTCGCACTAGCCCTTCAGTCAAGCTTCCCAGCATTGATCACCTTGCGCTGTTTGCAAAGCCTCGGGAGTAGCGGAGTGGCGGGAATCTCCTCGGCAACAACTGCAGATGTCATCACAAGAGCTGAGCGTGGCAGATACTTGGTGTATACCTCCTTAGGATGGACTATTGGACCTGCCATCGGCCCCATCATCGGAGGTATTCTGGTCCAGTACCTAGGGTGGCGCAGTATATTCTGGTTTCTGACTATTCTTGGGGGGGTAATACTCGTTCTCATTCTCGGATTCCTCCAGGAAACATGCCGGGTCATTGTAGGGGATGGGAGCGTGCCTCCACCGCGCTGGAACCAACCTGTACTGGCACTTCTGCGCCCCAAGCACCGAGTGAGCCCGAATCACCAGAGTCTCGTTACGTTTCGACGTAGGCCTGGTGTGTTCGATAGTGTTCGGCTCGTCGCGACGAAGCAGTTCGGGTTTCTGATCCTATTCAGCACATTTATCATGTGCGGCTGGAATGTGATTTTAAGCTGCATTCCTTTTCTCTTTGAGAGCAAGTACAATTTCAATGCACTCCAAGTCGGGCTAGCATACATTCCCTTTGCTGTTGGCGGCCTGACAGCTCGCTGGACATGCGGTACCTGGACTGATCGTAATTTCAAACGTCACGGGCGGCTTGCTGGCGTTGAGATTGTCCGAAACCAGCAGTCAAAACACGTGTTACTGAAGATCCCTCTAGAAAAGGCCCGTATTGAGATCATCTTGCCTATGGCATTCCTCTGGTTTGTCTGCCTGATTGCTTACAGTTGGCTGATGCAGTACGACGTCCACATGTCGGCCCCATTGGTGGTGATGTTTTTCTTGGGCAATGCAACAGCCGGAACTAGTAACGTTCTGAGCATGCTAATCATTGATCTCCATTCTCATCAACCCGCCACTGCGATGGCAGCGCTTAATATAGTCAGATATGGAGCCAGTGCTGGAGCAGTGGCGGCAACAATACCTTTAATTAATGCTATTGGCATCGGGTGGACGGGGACGCTCTTCGCCTTGATCGGTCTGGTTAGTTCCCCAGTGTTATGGATTGTATATATTCATGGTCACGATTGGAGACGCTCGAAGGAAAACACAGAACAATAGTTACCTTAGGGCTGTACTTCAGCATCACATGACGCCAGTTCGCTATTACAGTCTATACATTCTTATTTTGTACAATTAGCAAGGTTTACTCGATGTGAAGTACGTATATTATATTGGCTTGGTTCGTGAGTGTATCTTAGACTCACCCTCATAAGGGTCTATAGAGTATTCATAGCTTCGTATTACGAAGCTGTCCGCTACCCTTCGTCTTGCATCATCTACCGTCATTATTTCTAAGCATCACTTGATAACGAGTACTTTTGCTGTCTAATTTACACACTACACATTTCTCATATATTCACAATAGTGTGGTCAACGTTACCAGAATGACCCTTGATATTCCGACGATCACTCAAGCAACGACACTAGTTAATTGCGTGCTAGCCTAGTTGTCCTCGGTGGGTCCACAGGCAATGCCCCTACAGAGGTGCATTTGAATAGTTTGTCTCGCTGCAACATACATCAGCTTCCGTCCGCCTCTACAAGCATGCAAGTCATTGATAGGGTATCGCCACCTAGCAGCAGTGGGCTAGCTGAATGGCCGTCCATAGTCTATAGCGGTGTGAAACCGCCAAGAGTGCCGATTTTTCTGGTGAGGTGAGAGCCAGCCAATGTTCTGCTTTACATGGTGAACGTGGATGCTAAGGCCCACATTAGGATGAGGGGATGTGATATGTTCCATGTACTCAGCACATAATACAGGGATATTCGCAGATCTATTTGCAGGAAGCTCACCTCGGCGGCAGCCGCCCGAGTCCAGACACGATCTACAGAGTACGGTTAGGAGATTTGCTAACTTAGAGCTCCACAATGGAAGACGTCGCGTCGATCAGCAAATTTGCTTTTTCCAGGGTTATTTTTATAAGGCATGGCTTCTTCCCTGGGATCGACAACGCTTTATCCCTGGTGATGCGGTGAGGATCGTGTGTATGAAGCATTACTTATGATATCAAATTTTGATACATCATGTGACTCGATATCAACAGGTCTCCTGAACAATGAATGCCAGTTGAAACTACCTAAGGCAAGAACGAGCCAAGGTCACACCAGCTGTAGAGACCCTAGTCATTCCCTACGTCATTCATGTAAACTGCTCGTGTTAATATGATACAGAGATTGTGTATTCGGATGCGGATTTGGTGCTACACTGATTGCTGTGGCCTAACCATACACAGATTATAACCAGTCGTCATTATGCATGCGAGCTTACCCTATTTCACTACCTCCTACTCCGTAGCTATAGGAATAATAGAAGGGAATTTAATCTATGAGGCTAGGTTGACGACATGAACGGATCACACAGACACATCACCGTATCAAAGATCAACCGTTCGGCGCAGGCTTTTACATACCCAACTATCTCCTCCACCTCACGAAATTTCTGCCCTGATGAGTTTTTTTCTGAACTTATGATATAGATAGCAGTGGTATGTATTCGAAACAAAAGTGTGTGGAACTCATACCGGTATACAGTTGAAACTGCGAGCCAATACGACCTACCAGGAGTTCGTCGGATGAGATGACAGAAGCTTGATTTCGCAAAAGCGACGGAGTTTATATTTTATTGCAGTAAGACACTACCTTCCTCAATTCTATACTCTAGTCATGGACCTTCAGTTTCATGTCAATAGAAACAACTGTATATCCGCCTACTAGTGACACTGGCTTCGATGGCTTCAAACCCGTGGCCGAATGCATCTCCTAATCTCCATTAATCTCCACAACCCGAATCTGCCATTGTGTATTTACTCCCGGCGCCTATGGAGGGTATCGCGGTTACTTACTGTCAAAAGACCATGTGTGTGGCTTTGGCCTATGAGAAGATGTGCGCAAGGTACGAAGCTTCGGACTCAGATACAAGGATGGATGCACAGACGCATTCGGCTGACATGGGGGAGCAATGGAGAATGGTCTACCGATAGTTGATATGCTTTTAGACAAGCTTTGAGGTACCCTGAGTATCTAGATAAAGAAACCGAAAACAAAGAGTAAGCAAGTAAGATTAGATTGTACGAGGGTAAACGGCTACCCGTGACCTAAAGCTACTATTAGATACATCATGAGCGCGGAAGAGCGTTTGCTATTGGCTCTGCGTGGAAATGAGATATGAACGAGGAGCATGTATGCTTGATGATTTTGGTATAGCTCTATCGAATGCAACGTTTATACTTGACTGAGACCTTGTAGTTCTTTGTTATAGCGGATGCACCAAGTGTGTAACGAGACGAGATCTGGCCCAAAATAAACAGTTCCTTTGCTATACAAACCTTTAGCAACATAGGAAATCTCAATATAAAATGCATCTATTTTTCATATTTGCCCCGGCAAGCCTATTACCTCACCCTCCACTCCTAACAACACAATGACTTCTGCCCCGAACCAAGACACCTCGATCCCACCAGACCACCGCACAACTACCGGCCTGCTGGCAGAACATTACACCCTAGCGGCAATCGCACTGGCACTGGTTCTCCTACGAGCCTGGGTGCGCCTCCGTCTAACCAGAAACTGGGGCTGGGACGACACATGCATCGTAGTCGCCTGGGTATACATCCCCTCCCAAACCTCACCCAGGAGACTACTAAAGCCAAGAACAGATAGCCCTCCTAGCAGGCCTCATAACAATCCAACTCGAAGCCAACCTCGGCCTCGGCCGACATGTCATCTACCTCCCGGACCCAGAACACACCGTGCTCCAAATCCTCAAGGTCAACACGATATACCAAATGATCAACGTAATCTGCTCCCTAGTAACCAAGTACTCGATCAGCCTCTACATCCTGCGAATCCAAAACAGCCGTGCTGTCCGCTGGATCCTCGCCTGGCTCATGCTGTTCATGACACTGGCTACTATCGGCGTGGTCGTCATCCTCGCCGTCTCCTGCATCCCACTGGAGAGACTTTGGAACAAGGGTGTCCCCGGTATCTGTCTGCCCCAGACGTCTGTCTACAGCGTATCGTATGTCCACTCCGGGTTCACGATCGTGATTGATCTTTGCTTGACCTCAGCACCGGTTATCATCCTCTGGCATGTGAGGATTACGCGGGGTCGCAAGACGCTGATTTGTGGGCTGATGAGTCTGGGCCTTGTTGCGACTGTTTCGAATGGTTTGAGGAATTGTTTTCAGAGTGGGTTGACGGCGCCGGATATGCCATGTACGCTTTTTTTTTTTTCTTTTCCTTTCTTTACTTTCTTCTGTCTTTTCTCCCTCTCTATCCCTTTTGTCAATGTACGAGAATATACAATCCACTAACCAAAATTGGCGAGATAGACGCCATAACAAACGTATCCATCGTCTCCATCCTCGAAGTCGGGACTGGCGTTATCGCCGCTTGTATCCCAGCCTGCGTCCCGGCCTTCGGGTGTCAACAGAAAGCCAAACCAGCGACGCCGAGTTACCGTGACAAGCCGATTTCCGTTATCGGGGGGATGATTGGGGTGAGAGTCCTTTTAATTGGGCGTGGGGGAATACTACGTCTGAGACTGTTGCTTTGTGTGGGGTTAAGGCGCCGGCTAGGGTTGCTACGAAGGTGACGGCGGCGTGTTAGGTTGGTTCGTTGGGATGCTTGGTTTTGGGTGGAAGGGAGGCTTGTTGGGAATTGGGGTGTGATGTTCTGCGGGGTGGGGAATGTGTGTTAAAGGTTTCTTTTCTTCATCACAATGGTATTTGCTAGTTACGTTTACTGAATGGGATATATATTAGCGAGTCCATAGTATTAAGGTTACACCTAGTGTGTAGTAGATGAAGTATTTAGACTATCTGTAAATTATATACTTATATAGTTTGCCGAGGGTAGTGTTTCTGGAGAGTATAACAGATCAACGTATCTACATAGAGCACGAGCAAGATATACACAGAGGAAGGGTATGAAAGTATAGTTGACGAAGGATTGCCGTAATAGAACTCCACTTTCTTAAGCGCACCACAGTACTATTGACTAATACTATATAGACTATGGCCAGACAAGTTAGAACAACATCCGTCAACGTACACGGCGAACTTACCGCCATAACCGAAGAACGCGATCGCCGCCCCCAGTCGCTACAATATTATCTGTAGGACTCCATGCAATACCTAAAACTAAATGAGAAAATCAGGATATCAGTACATGGGTGATAAAGTCATCTCTGATCACATGCGTATACCTGAGTTTTCATGAGCCCCAAGCCGCATCTCAGCAACACCAGTGCCGATGTCCCAGAGATACACAGCCATATCCTTTGAGCCGCTCAGGAGCCATCTGCCTGTGGGATCTGGGGAGACGCTCAAGACCATATCCTGGATGTTGGACCAATTAGTTGTGTCTCTCAGAAATAATCTCTTCAATCAAAGTGTAATGCGAACCTGATGCGCTTTGTATATCAAGGTACAGTCGCTGGGCGTTATATCTTCGTTGACAAAGGTTTTCAGGGATCCAATATTCCATAGCTTTGTAGTTCCATCCATTCCACCGGAGATGATATCTCGGCTATCTGGGGTGAATGAAAGAGCCATGACGTTCTCATCATGGGCCTGAAACTCCAATACTTTCTCTATTTGTGCTCCACTCGTGCTGGCAGCACCAGAATCTAGCGGTGCAACGCGCCAGACATAGATCATCCCATCGTCGCAACCAGCAGCGATGTAACACGAGTCGGGAGACACAGCGACGGTATAAACATCATCAGCTGTGTGGAGTGTGTCAAGCTGGCGAATATCAGATGCTGCATCCAGATCCCAAGCATTGACAGTCTTGTTCCTCTCAGAAAATGCAAGCAGGTGGCCATTGGCCGAAAGATCTAGAGTGAAGAGTCCAGTTTCACTGCCACAAGGGATCCGCCGCAGAAGGCCTCCCATGTAATTCCAAATCTGCGACAGCACGTATATTAGTAGCGGGTATATTCTTGTACGGTGTGACCAAACCCACGCGGATATTACCATCGCAGTGCGCTGTAAGTAGAAGATAGTTATCCGGCAAAAACTTCACTCTTACGCAGAGACAGTCGTGACTGTGGTCGTCATCTTGGAGACGGGCCACCTGAGCTCCGGTTGAAACTTCGACTATTCGTACGGTGCCATCCGCGCATCCAACAGCAACATATTTTCCATCCCTACTGAACTGGACACAGTTGACAATACTGTCATGCGTCAGGCTATGGAGCAGGTCTATCTCCCAGTTATTCTCTATGTCCGGGTTAATCACAGCGGACCATTGGTCACCAGCCTTTCTCCGCTCCGGCGGCAGTTCGTCCCAATTGCTCATTACATCGTCAAAGTTGACTCCCAATCCTGGTGGATAGGAGAGGTATGGGACGGGAGATGTCACAGGTGAGCTTCTCGCAGCCGAGGGTAGAGTAGGAATTTTCAAAGACCAGAACATTCTTCTAGCGGATGAAGAAAGTACCAGTCTCTTCATCTAACCATTCATTTGGCAAGTAGCAGATATATGAAGTGCAGAATATTGATACACAACAATGTCCCCAATTGCCGCGGGGAACCGATCAAGTTAGGCAGCACTTTCCACTGAAAAATCATTGTGGATATCCACATTTCCAGATTGACACCACCAACTTTTTGAATGCCGGGACTCGCTTAGAATCAGAGTGAGGCTAAGCAGCAAACCTAGTATATGGTTGCCTAAACTGGTGGAAGTTAATTAACCAATAATGCACTTTAATATCGCCGTGAACAGACAAGGGATAGCAAGGAAGTTCTTGTAAACAAAACAGAAGCAGCCCACTTCGGCCCACCCTTGGACAAATTTTTCTGATATACAGAGATCTCCCTTCTCATCATCCGTTGAATATTCAGGAAATAGGACCGCAAGTGGAACCCTCCCAGCATGGGAGATTCCAGCTGCCGGGCAAACTCCGGCTTTATACTCCTTTTCCACCACAGCCGCGGAACCCGTGGAACCCGTCGAGCCTCAAGCTCCAAGCGACCCATTGGACGCGAAGGATATTTTTATGCATAACGCGGTATATGTCGATGGGGACTTTACGCATAATTCTCCCCTGCCAATTGGCGTTTAACTCTAGCTTTGCTGGATGCTAATTCTGACTCTGAGGGTATTGGAAATCTAGTACCTAAAAATGAAATCATTCTCACGACAATATCCTGGAGAAGCAGTTGGCTGCATGAGTGCACTCTCTCCGGCCTTATTAAAATCCCCAGTTTTCTCCTAGAATTGATGCGTTGCCTGCTGCTCCGCGTTCTCTCCAGACTGTTTTGGTGCAAGCCCTGTACAGTCTGAAGGAAACAAGGGACAAATACTTCCATCTAGGTTCGGATCGCAACGCAATAGTTCAAGTAACCACCGATAGTAGGAGAGGGGCTCTACAGACAAGTAGATAGTCTAAGAAAATAGTTCAGCAAGAGGAAAAGGAACAGAATGCCGATACCATCATTTCTAAATTGATGAGTCAGGGTGCGATACATAACAGTGGTATCAGTGGCGTTATCCTAGTCAGTATGCCTATCGTGTGACACTAATAGAAGATATATGGAAAAGGTATAGGTTTCGAGAAGTGATAATCATGTTCATGACAAGTGTTCGGCAGACTTGTGTCGTTGCTAGGCATCCTTTTTATTTTAACCCAGAGATTGAAGGGTAGTATTTCCCTACTCCGTTTCTTCGTGATCCTGGAATGGCCAGAATAAATCAACCGACATGAAATCCTCCTCGTCTTCTGCTTCAGCTAGCCAGTGCTCCTTCAGCTTCTTGTTAGTCTCCATAACTGCTTCGTACGATTCATGCCTGACCCATCCATCTTCTCCTGGGTCATCCAGAAGAGACCGCCAATGCTCGAGCAATATCGTCGCCTTAAACCAGTCCCCTTCAACACGGTAGAAATCCTCACTTTCCTTTTTACTAAAATTAACTGGGCAACGGGTTTTCTCTGTCGTTAACTAATTGTTCCCAGTGTTCAGTGAGCCTAATAAGTGCTCCTTTCAGTGTAATCACGTTGCCGCTCCATTGACGGCCAGCTCGGTCTACTATATGTTGTCGAAGTGACATAAGAGGGTAGCGAAGTGCTTCGAGGTGGGCTTTGTTATCCCGGCCGTTGAAAACCATATACATATAAAACAACATTCTTCGGCGATGTAGTTCATCAGCATTGGATTGCTCTTCTGGGCTCAGAGAACTATAATTTTCAGGAAGAGACGGCTTTTCAAGGCCCTTTGGGGGCTCTGAGTCGGGATTTTCGAACAGCGGCGGATTACCCGCGGTGAGTAGTAACGGAAGGATGGAGCTATGTTGCCAATTAACGATACAAGAGACTTCACAAGTGTCCGATACGAATACGTTGGATGGGTTCAGATCTGGGTTGATTAGCATCAAATTGCGATGGAGAATTAATGAGTGGCTATTACCTGGATGTCGCAGTATTGGCATATTCATTGGGCTTTCACGGTTTTCAGGAAGAATATACGGCGAGATTGAAATGAACTTCCTCAGAAGACCGAGATATATCTCTGGGGAAATCTCCCCCTTGACTATATTGTTATGAGGGAAATCATTCCGTTGCGGCTTGCCGTATCTGCTGGTCCACTCTAGTTCCCGTTGACCCACGCGCTACGAGCATACTCTCGATGGTCTTTCCCTGTAAACTGTCAAAATTTACTCAGGCACGACGAGGAGTGTGAGACTAACAAGGCCCGCGTTCCAAATCGAGAACAGCACGTTTTCCTCGCCAGAAGCTGTAATCAGCGGAAGGCCCTATACAAAACTGGCCTTCCGGATCTCCACGTGATGCTTGATAAAGATCAGCCTGGAGATTTGGAGGTATACTATGTCTATAGTAGGGCTTCCATAAGATCCAAATGGGATGGAAAAAAGTTTCCGTTCGATATCGACGTAACTGGTTACTAAATGAACCCTTTCCTTTGGAGTCAGATCAAACCAACGACGGTCCAATGGCTGTCCAGAAGCTTTCTCCATGATGATATACTCTGTTCTCACAGCATTATCACTGTCCGAAGAGTATGTGAAAACTCGTGGTACAGGTATCCCCTTCGTACGTAAAAAGTCAAGTGTCGCAACCTCACTTTCAGTTGTCAACTGTTTGGGGACTGTGAGCGGATAGGGGGTCTTGGCTATCACCTCTAAGCCATCATCCATGGTGAGTAGAAAGACCCTGTTGAAACCACCTTCCGCGAGTTTCCTCATACGGATGACGGTGGTCCTACCAACGCTACTCGCAGCCACCTTTTCCAGTGCTTTGACATTAAATTCAACATATCGTTCGTTCAAGCGAAGCTTTTCGTTGAATATGTAACGCCCACTAGTATAGGAAAAGAGGTTTTCCCTTTGTTTTGCGGAGTTGATGGATGGAGTTACCATTGTGAACAACTGGCTTGAGGAACTGAAGGGTTGAGCATTGAGGTTCCTTCGAGGAAAAACACCATTCAGTGTCTGTTTGAATCTAGGCGACAAGTTTGGATGGTAAATGAAACGTAAACTCTTTTGGGCGATAGGCCGTAGCATGGCGACCACTTTACGAAGGCATCCATGAAAGTACAAGGGTTGGCTTAGTTGCTCCCTGGTATCTAAGAACTTATAAGCCACGTGATCAATATACAACAACTTCTCCGAACCAGGCAATTGATGAGCACGAACAATACTTCGGATGTTAGACTTCTGGTTACCGTTACTATAGTTACATAATATCTACGAAGGTATAACTATTAGATAGCCACTATACTACCGTGGACATTACTTAGTGATCTACGGAGTAGTTAGATAAAAAATTGACTTCCGCAATGTAACTGATAACTATTTCATTCCAGAGCAGAAATGATTGTATCTACTGTTTCGACGAACATATGAGAGGGGCAAGGGCATGTGATTGAGTGCATCTATTAACATACCATACTATATAGTCTAATTTTAGATGTCCTGTGATGGTTCTACGTAGAGAATCATGGTACACACTTTAATGAGAAGCTTCAGTGAAAACTCTATATTGACAATATCTATATGAAAACTAAACCTGGCCATTGCAGAGTCAATGCGGATATACATGACAGTGTATAACCTCCCCAGGGGCCCTGGTCTAGGTGAAGGTAGGCAGGACAGTAATGGTTGTGGTGCTCGTGACCACGACCTGTTTGGTGACTGTCACCACGGTGATGGAGGCTGCATCCGCGGAGGAGATAGTGCCAGCAGCCGCAGCAGAAGTGGAGCTGAGGACGGCCCTGGTGGTGCTACCAGCGGTAGCATGGGTGGAGGCAGCGGTTTCAGCGGGGGTGACGGTGCTGGTGAAGGTCTCGTCACAGCTGGTGGACTCGGCGGCCGCGGAGGAGGCGGCGGGAGTAGTGGACACTCTGGTGACGGCACTGCTGCTGACGGCACTACTGGGGTAGGCAGTCTTCTGGGCGGGAGCGGACACGGACGCGCTGGAAGCAGGGACAGAGTCACCAGCGGCGATGATCTTGGCAGCGGCAGCCTCGGCAGCAATCATGACGATAGCCTGGGTGTTGCCGGTAGGCAGATCGGGGTGGATACTGGCGTCGACGACGTACTAGTTTACGTTAGTTAAGGTCTAGGGTTGACTATGGGATTGAAAATCTTACCAAGTTCTCGGTACCGTAGACCTTGGCGTTGGTATCGACAACGGAGGTACCGCCGGTACGGCCGTCGTCCGTGCCCATCTTGGTGGTTCCGACGAAGTGGTCACCGCTGGTCTTCTTGGCGATAATGTCGGCGGCAGAGCCGAAGTCGGGGACGGTAAAGCCGGCGTTCTTCATGTCGTTCAGCAGGCCCTGGAGGAACTGGGTGACAGCTTCCTTGTCCGCATCGGTCTGCAACCAGGGGTCAGTCTCCATGACGGTGGCTCCGGAGGATCCAATTCCAAGAACACCAGAGGAGGTTGCACCGTGGGTCAAGTACAGCTTCATGGTGATGACACCATCGCTGGCGACACTGCAGGATCCCTGGTAGAAGCGGGTCTTGCCGTCGCTGCCTTCGTTGGAGGTCCAGAACTGCAGGCGATGACCACCCTCAGACAACACACCGGAGCCTTCAGAATAGAGCTGTTGGACAGCAGCAGCCGGGCCAGAGAGGACGCTGGAGGTGTTGAATGCAGTGAAGTTGCTCTTGGTGTGGACGTTGATGGTGAACATGGGGTGGTCCTTCAGGTTCTCACCGACGGGCAGGTTGATCCACTCCTCCTGGGCAGGGACGGTAATGCCGGTGGAGCCGCTCTTTACATTCTCGATCTGCTTAGCAGGTCCGATACCCGAGTTGAACAAAACACGAGGCGTAGACATGGAACCAGCAGCTAGGATAACCTTGCCACCGGCACGGATGTTGATAATCTCGACGGCACCAGATTCAGTCTCGACCTCGACACCAGTGATGCGACCACCGCGACGTACCAGACGGCGGACCTTGGTCTGGAGGCGGAGGGAGAAGTTGTCGAGCTCCTGAGCCAGGGGAAGGTAAGAACGGACGGGGCCAGCACGAATGCCGTTGGCAACGGACCAAGATGGGTAACCGTAAGCCTGGTGCTTCTCATTCGGCTGCTCATGTTGGTTGACTGACTTCCAGCCGAGACCTTTGAAGAAGCCTCCAAGGACATTGTACATGCCATAGTCATAACGCTTGCCATCAGCGGATGGGAGGATGCTACCAGGGTTACGCTCATACAAACGGGAAGCGGCGTCCTTGACATCATCCCACTTCCAGCCGGCAGGCCACTTGTCGTTGAAATCGGCTTCCTGGGGGTGGATGAACGCAAGAGCATTGACAATAGTGCCACCACCGAGGACACAGCCCGCCATACCAGCAGTATCATCGCAGAGATAGTCATCGAGGAGACCAAGCTTGGAAAGGGAGCTACCGAGGGCGGGAACATCGTGGGGAGTGAGGGAGTTGTTCCACGAAAGAGCGTTCTTATTACCCATCTGCACGGTAGGAGCAACACCACGTTCAATCAGCAAGACCTTCTTCTTGGTCTCGGCCAGCCGTTCGGCGGTGATGATACCAGCCGGACCACCTCCCACAACAATGTAATCATAAGTCGAGTTCAGGACGGTGGGGGCAACGCTAGCCGAGGGAGTACTGCTAGGGCTAGCAGAGGCGGACGCGGAGGGGGTGGTGGTGGATGACGCCTTGGCCTTAGAGGCCCAGGTAGAGTACTTGGCGGACTTGGCATCAGAGAGGACCATTTGGAAGCTACCAAATCCGGCAGCGTGGTAGTTCAAAGTGGCATCGGAAGAAGCGGGGGACTTGGGGCTGGTCTTGCTGAGAGCCCAGCCAAAGAAGTAGCTGTCCATATCCTTACCGAAGGTGGTGGGCGTTCCAACGACACAGCCGCGGCATAAGAAGGTATAGGTAAGGTGAGTGCTGTTGATGGAAGTTCCATCGGGGATCTCGTTGAGACTGGCGTCTCCGCTGTAGACGTCGGGGTTGGTGTAGGACTGTGCTTCACGCAGACTGGAGACGACGGAATCGCCGTTGGGCCAGGCTCCAATCAAAAGGGCCTTGGTCATCGAGCTTGAAAGACTGACACCACCCCATCCGTTGGATGATGAAAGAGGCACGACCAGCTGACCGATGAAGTCGGAATCAACTGTTTCAGGGAGGGCCAAGCCGAAACAAAAGCCGGTCTTTTCATCGCACCATCTCTGGAAGTCGATACCGGTTGTCGAATCACTGTAAGCGGAAGAGTTGTAGTTCATGGCCGCAGCGCCGAGCGCCGAGCTCAAGGCCACAAGGCCTCCGAAGAGAGAGGAGCGCATTGCCTTCTAATTTACCAGAAATACAGAAAGAAATGAAAAGTAGGTCACGAATACGAAAGAATGATAGTATAACGACAGTAATGAAGGGAACGGGACAAGCTGGCCCAGCAGCAACCCAGAAAGAAAAAAAAAAGAATGACGGCGGTATGGCCGAAAAGAATGAAAGGAAAGAAAGCGATAATCAAGGAAGAAAAGCAAGCTGAGTAGCCACCAGGGCAGTTACCGTCATTCATATAAAATCGAGGTCGCCCACTGATCCCATGGCACGGCCCCAATCATGCCAGGCAACCCAGAAAAGCTACAATATTGAAGGACGGCTGGGAGAAAGAAACTAATGCGCTGGGCAAATTAAAATTGTGGGAACTGTCTGAGCCAAACCACGCGTGAAGTATCCATGTACATGGAATCCATGCCTGTTTCTTCCATATCGAAGAAGTACCGTTGGCCCATTGCAAGTTAAGCAATTTGGTGCGGGACCACAAGTGGCCCAAGTTTAACGGTGTGGACATGCCAAGCAGAGCTAATGAGGACATCGGTTTCACCGATAGACAGCGGCCGTTTGAGTTGTATTATGCCCTATGGCGCTTTAATCGCCCAGCCCATCTAGACGAAACACCATCCTCAATAGTTCTTACTGCTGTGGATTGATCACTAAACCACCCAACTTCATTGGTCTCCGTATCCCGGGACTGTAAACCGGACCAAGTGAAAAGAGATTGCCCCAGGGGACAATCTCCCGGAATTTTACCGAATTCTTATGCTGCTGGCAACCCTTGGAAGGGTAAATTGCGTCCTGACAGGGCTATTCCTGTAAATTGAGGGCGGAGAGAGAGGTATTCTTGAGGCCTTGATCAATGTGAACTAATCACGCAGGTGAGAGCTGATCACACCAGGTTGATCGAAGCAGTTCGGTAGAGTGAGGTCACCAAGATGCCGAGACTGACAGATATAGACAAGCCATGCCGGTAATTGAGCATCGTGAGGATTCCATAGCCGATGAGTTGCTCCGAACGGAGTAAACAGATCGATCTGTGACTGCGAGAGTATCAGGAGAATGAGAGGATTCAAAGTGAGGCGTACTCGGTCCGCTCCGAGTGGGGCGCATGATTCAGGCACTGTTTTTAGGGTCTAGGGCAAGGGTTCGGCGAGTCAGCTCCGAGGCAGTGAATTCTCTGAATAAGGTCTCGAGAAGAAAAATAATGGGAATTTCAAGTATCTGGTATAGGTAAATAGGTTATATCGGTAATTACAAAAGTATTCAGGGTACTAGACAATAGAACACTTACATTGGTTTGTATTTGTACCATTGCTCATACTTTCACATGGAGAGTAGCGGATAAATATATACAAGAACTACCCTTTTCAAATAGCCTATTTTCCAAATTTTAGCACCAAGTTGAATACCATTAAAGTTGATATCCGAAAGTAAGTAGCGGAGAATGGTGGAGTGTATGTTATTTTGACTCGGTGTATATAGACAAGCATACCAAAGACTAGCAACAGCTATTAGTTAGCAATACGACGCAGGTATATGTCTGGTCCTATTGTAAAACGCTAGATCCGGTGTGACCAGTCGTGTTTCAAATACACTTCCATGTATAAATTGCGACGGAATGAGTACAGTCCCGAAGATTGAGACTCTCTTTAGTTTCACATATGGATTGCTACACTGACGACTTCAAGCATGGCACATCATTCCATGGACGCTACGCCGATTTCCTACACTTATTTCCTGGGACTCGCCAAGCCACGAAGGAATATTATCTACATACGAAGATATTTCAGATCATGCATTTAGTAGTGATCAAGAACAAAATTGTCGACCAGTATCCCTTCGTCGTGACACCTATGTTCAATGCTCTGAACGATTCCAAAGACCTGGCTTTGCGCCGCATGCAGTCTGCGGGAACACATCGATATATGTTGCCATTCTTGCCCTCACAGCTGGAGGAAATCGATGGTATCTTCGGCGGTGATCCATGGCCATATGGCCTTGAGGTGAATCGGAAACCGTTGGAAGCTTTAGTAACTTACCTTGAAGATCAAACTGTGATTCCCCACAAGGTTCCGCTAGAACAATTATTCGCACTTATCTATGGGAAGAACCTCAAGAGGTAATCACTGGGCACAGTGTGTTATTGGGTAGTATTTCCTTGACTAGTGGTCTTCATTGCTGTATATAGATTGTAGAACATCATGAGTCGTATTCGCAGCTTACATTTTCTCTCTCCATTTATCCTATCAGGCTCTGGGGTTGGGGCGCAAAGACCACTAGGAACCGAATACTCCGTATATAGGCATGAAGGACTGCAAGCTCTACGCTATATGATCATCCCCGGCGTCTTCGTCCTTTCCTTGCATCTATCATAGTCATATTAAATAGCCAACATCGTCCCGTGTGGTTTGCCGGTAGCTCTACAAACCAGGCGCTATATCTCGTGCTTTATGTCGAAGTCAGGATAGATCACGACTTGAAAGGGAATTGAATCGTTCAATTAATGCTTCTATACTGACACATGGAAACTGGCTAATTGTGTGCCAACAAACTGTACAAAGTCACAATCCTTCTGCCGGCGTCCCCTTCCAAGTTAACGCCAAAGACAGTTTTCAATTTGGATATACACCTTTAAATAATCCATCTGGATACCGACAGAAACAAATGATATCGAAGAAAATCATGAAACAAAAACCACCAAAGCTCACAAGTCACGAGCTCAAGTTTTAAACAAGAACAATGCCAGCACCCACGAAGGTGGACATGACCGTGACCATGCCAACAACGAGAGGAGCCAGGGACATGTTGGGGATGTTCAGGACACCAGCAGCCGAGGAAGAGGAAGAGGTTCCGGAGGAGCTACCGGAGCTGCCAGTGGCAGAACCGGAGCCGGGCTCGGCAGTGCCGGTCGAGGTGCTACCACCACCGCTCATGCTACCCTTGCCAGCGAAACCCTCACCCTTGCCAGCACCGTCCTTCATGAACTTCTTAGCACCCTCGGGGATGGCAGGCAGATCATCGCTGTCAACGTCCCAGTTGGGGGAATCCTTGGCGGGGCAAGGGTTGGCACCACCGGTCTTGTTGTAGCCACCGTCGCCCTTGGGGTTGCTGGTCTTCTCGAAGGCGGACTTCAGAGCATCGTAGTCAGCCAGAGTCTTAACCTTGTTGTCGTTGATCTCAACAAGACCGTATTTGCTGGGCTCCTGGGAGTACTCGTAGACCAGGCCACCAGAGTAGACGCCGGTCATATCGGTGCTGTACAGAGAGCTGACTTCCTGGAACTGACGCTTGTTGGTGTTGCAGCCGTACTCCGAAAGGAACAGGGGAAGACCGTAACCAGTGAAGTTCTCCACCTTCTTGTCCCAACCGGAAGTGGTGAAAGAGGAAGGATCACACCAGGAGTAGTCATTGAAAGCGAAGAAGTCACTGCGCTCGTCATCGGTACCACAGTTCATGAACTGGGCCATCTGGAGACGGTTGGTGTCGATGTCGGCCTGATCACATTGCACATCAATACCCGACTTCTCATACACCAACGGAGGGGGTCAACTTACAGCAGAGTATCCAACAGGAATTTCACGGTAGTTGCGGCTGCGAATGTACTGACGGAGGTCACGAGTGACCGCCTTAACGTAGGGGGCAGCCTTGGAGGAGGGGCCGTCATTGATGACCTCGTTACCGGAGAAGAAAGCCAGAGTGTTCTTGTAGCCGGCGAAGGCATCGACAGTAGCGAAGATGTACTGCAGATAGTTTTCATTGTAGGAGATCTTGGGGCTGGCACGGTTGAGAGAGTACTTGGGAGTGTTGACATCGAGCACCAGGTAGATGCCAGCATCCGCCAAGGCGTTCATACATTCGTCATGGTTCTTGGAGTTATCCACGGAGTAGACACGGATGGTGTTCAGACCGAGATCCTTGAACTTCTCGATGTCACGCTTGCAGCCGTCGACATCGGCGATGGGGTCGGCCAGGTTAGAGGAACCACCGGGCTGGTAGTCGACACCACGCATATAGAAACGCTCGTCGCCCTTGAAGAAGGCATTTCCCTTCACGGTGACAGCGGTCACATCATCACGCGCCTTGATGGACGGAGCGGCGAGGACGGCGGAGGCACCCAAGGTGAGGGTTGTCGCAATGGCAGAACCCTTCATGATGAAAATGAGACTGATTGATCTATCAAACGACTGGAATTGATTGCGACGGCCCGAAAAGAATGGCGAGATCCGTCTGAGGTATGTTTAATATAGGACCGAGATGACGCTCTTGCGGTCTAATGATTACAGAAAATAAGAATTGAAGAAGAAACGAAGTGGACGTGGGACGTCTGAACGAATGACTGGGGTGGTTGGGAAGAAGTACGAAAGAAAGAGGAAGGGATGCAGAAGCAGTCAGGAAGGGGGTGGTTGTGGCACGCCTTAAAGCCAACCAGCGTCGCAGGGTCTGCATCCCTGATTTTCGAGACAGCATTGGGGCAGCTGCCTGCATGGGGTATCACCAATTACCCGTATTTGGCTGCAGAGAAGGCCGCGTGGGACAAGAATAGCAATGGCAACGGTAAGTTACATACAGCTGTATACAACCCAAGCTGGATCAAGCGCCGCTAACGGCAGAAGCATTCGTCATCCACCCTGAAACCCTGGAGATTAATGCGCAGAGAGATCGCTGACTGGTCCAGAGAATGGAGGGGATCGGCCCAGGAACAAAGGAGGGTGTGTGTCGCTAACCTTGAAATTGCCCCAAATTTACCCCCCCATCGGTGGCTCTGAATGGCCATCCCTCTTCCACTCACGCTGAGGGACTTGGCCCAATTCAATCAATCATTAACGGCGAAGTGGACACACCGTGAAGGAAGTGAAGGCAGGATGAAAGATGGCTTGCCGTGGTGGGGAATGTTTGGTTTGGCCGGTGGGTCTGGACCCGTCGAATCCCTGAGACCCTGACCTCTTGGTTGGCTGATCCCTGTACCAACCCTGATTCCAGAGTACACAACAAACTGCATTGTGATCCATGATTTGTTTCCAGCGCTACACAAGGAAATTCAATAGTTACATTAATTCACTTTTTTTTCATTTTCAGTTGTTTTTTTTTTTCTGAAAAAGAATCAATCGCCAAATTCCTACAATTTTCGGTCTTCTGCCTATTGCTAAACTCTACCGCACGGGATGAGCGAGTCAATTCTCAAGTCTCAATAGGATAGACATTATCACCTTCCGTCCCAGGTGTGCGACCTTGAAGATCCCTTCAATCGACCCGACGATTGTCACGCCATGCTGACATGAACAAGGGAAGATAGGGGCTGGTCCCCTCTCCTCATACCCTTGGACGTTATATTAACTATATCCCATGTTGAATCAACCCATCCGTCAGCGCATTCCAACCTGCCACTCCCCTCAATGACAGACTATGGATGGCTTTGTCATGGCATATTTTGTGGCGTCAGATTACCGCACTTTCCCTTCCGACTATTATTAGCCGACAGCACATTGAGTTTGAGTTTGCGTGTGGTTTCAACTGAGACATGCCAGCACATTATACAGTGGACAGGCAGAAAAATTATCTGTAACCAGGCGATAATCATAAATACTATAGCAATCAAGCATTACAAGCCTGTGTACTCCGTAAACGAGCCCAAATTGCTTGATCAAAAGCAATGACCATGGTCCTAATGAATCGCCCACCGCATCCATCCAATAGATTGGTTGTTTCTGACCTCGCCAAAAATAGGTCCCGCCCATGGTCGATGGCCAGGGGACCGCCCGCTGTGGCGAATCCGGTTCCGTCGGCGTTTCTCGAGCCACTTTCCTCAATCACCAATGCGGAACTTTTACCCGACATTGAAGTCCACAAAACCGTCCCAGAGTTCCGGAGCATCAGGTATGTTTCACATTGCTCAATTTTTTTCAGATTTCACATTGTGATGAAGTAATGGGAACAAACAATACAAGTTTGGAGAGTACAGCGTACGGAGCATACATGTTTCCGCAAAAAGAAGATAAGCTGTTTGGCCCCCATGGAACCAATATATATAAACCAAGCCCCTGTCCTTCCACTAAACAGCTGGACTATCAAAACAAGCCTTGACTAGATACACAACCAGAGAGAAACAAGAAACAAGACGCTCCATCACATCGATGATCACAATAAATCCATTCCCCGTAGACAAGGTTGAGGGAAAGTGCTCATCCTGAATAATCTATCGTTTCCAACGAGAAACAAAACTTCGTGACCCTACCCTGGATCCAGAATCGTGGCTTGGAAATTTGCGCGACCGGAAGCGGAGTTCTAGATCCGTAGTGGGCGCTGGTCTGGACTTTGGCTCGGTGTGAGAATTATCGGCTGGGATTTTATTGAGAGAAGCAGGGATCATTGGGGTTTTGTTCTGATGATTTTCTATAATATCAATGCAAAATGAAGAGATGTTTTCAACAACTTCCGATATGGTGTAACGGCTAACATCGCCGCCTTTCATAAAATGAAAGCAAGTTCCGCGGCAGCTCGGGGTTCGATTCCCCGTATCGGAGTAAATTTCTTTTTCCCCAAGTATTATTTTGCAATCCTTTTGTTATCCATAATAGTATTTATATTCATTCCTCTTTTTACTTTAACACTCAATAATCTAACACTACTTCCAGGCCTTCTCCCCAACAGCAGAGAAGACTCATTCTTATAACTCGATTCAGATACGCGATAGAACCTCTATATATGCTGAGAACCAGCTCGAGTCTCCGCCCGGATGATCTTTTTCGTCTTGATATCTATTATACTACTTTTTTCTATACAATGTTCTTCCAAAACCCGAATGCTTAAGCGTTTGCGATATTTATTTTATTTATTTTCAGTCTTCATTTTCTCTACGACTTTCTATATATGCTCTATCCCCAGCCGTATTCATGTCGAAACCCTTCGCTCTCCAGATTGCGCTGATATATCATTCTCGACGTACCAAAAGACACAAACAAATCTGCATATCAAGCTCAACGGCCACCAACATGCTAGTGCTATATCCTCGTCACACAGGGATTTCATGAATAGCATCATCACTTCCTCGATACAAATATGGTTCACCTCGATCATCCACGATATACATACCCGCACAAACAGTCGAAATATACATAGATATCTATAAAACCAAACCACACAACCCACACATGTACATAATACAACCCCCAACCTTCCCCCATCTCAATCACTGACAATGAATACATAAATGAATTAATCAATCCTTCTTCTTCTCCAACCGATTCGTGCCATGCACCCAATCCAACAACCCCAAACTCCCGTAATTCAAGTTAAACTTCTCATGATGCAAATCATGCATTCTCGCCTTGCCGTGGAAGAAATCAAACCCGCTATGCACAGTGGCGGTCACAAACAACTCATACGCCAAGAATACCCAGAAGGTCAACACATGACTGCGCAGCAGCTGCGGCGGCAGGGAGATGGGCAGGGCGTTGGCGAAGATCTGTTCGAGGGGGTGAGCGAACTGGGCGGCGAGGGCGATGGGGGCGGTGAACTTGTGGTGCTGTTTGTGGATGCGGACGTAGAAGAAGGGCCGGTGGAGGAAGCGGTGGGCGTAGTAGAAGAGGGCTTCGCGGGCGAGGAGGCTGAGGATGAAGTCGCGGGCCAGAATAGGGAGGGAGGGGAAGGTGGGCGTGATGGTGTAGGAGGAGCTTTTGCTGAGCTTGAGTTGGACGAGGAGGAGGGTTGTGGTTAGGAGTTGGTTGCGGAGGACGATCTTGAAGCAGTAGAGGATTTCTTTCTTCGTGGGTTGTTTTGGGGCCGGTTGGATCTTGTGGCGTTCTGACCAGTTGGGGAAGAGGGCGGGCAGGGCCAGGTAGACTAGGGAGGGAAGCCAGAAGGTGAGGATTTGGATGAGCAGCGTCCCTGTGAATTCTATCGTTGAGGGCTTGTAGGTTGCCACGACGGTGGCCCAGAGGAGTTCTAGGTTTGGCATGGTGGGTTGGGCCGTTTTGTGATAGATCGAATTAGGCGGATAGTAGAGGGTGGTTTTTTGGTATACAGCATGGTTCTTGGGCTTTATAAAAGTGGCATTGGTGGTTATGTAACATCATATGGTTGAGGTGGAGTTGGTATGGGGAACCTCGGCATTTATATGGTTCGTATAAGTATATGTCCTGTCACCCCGCAAAAGGCGGGCAGCTGACAGCAAGTCACGGGCTAGGTCGAACCACTCTCTAGATACTTTGACTAATGGATACGTTAACGCTGGCCCAAGCGTCTCGCTAATAAAGCCATTATGGGCTTCCACGTTTTCTGGTCACAACTAGAGTTTCACAGAACTATAGAAAATGGAAGACGCAATGGCATTCCTGGCCAATCGATCAAGATATACTATCTACCTGGGTTGTCACTAGTTTCTATCATCCAACAGCTTCAGGATTTCGCTAAGTCCGACATAAGGAGTCGTATCCGTTCCAAAGAATTCAATTCGTGACTTTATGGAACTGAAATGCAGAAGAGTTGTGGGTCATACAGTCACACCTGAAGTCAAGACCAAGGTAGACACCTAGCTATTTATATCTGGGAAATGGACACGGGGAGGTTTATGACTTTTCCTGTTCAATTGGCCGTCTTGCACCGCTCGAAGGAGCTAATGATGTAGCCGGTAAGGAAGTGTAGACCCGCCACATCAAACTTAGAGAAGAAGTGGTTGAGCAGTACAATACGTCTATGCCGAAAGAATATCAAAAGGAAGGCTCATATGATTTACTTGGACTACTACTCTAAGTAGCTTAGGAAGAATCATCTTTTGACATCATCACACTATAAGAAGGCGTGCACTTAGAAAATTAAGAATATAAGCCCATGTGAATCAAAATCACCGATCTAGACACCACAATCGACGTACAAGAATGCTCAATCGATAATTCTTCAACCAGAAATGGATTATCGCCATTAACCGTCGCATCAATCAACGCACATCGTACAACAGCCTCCTAATTGCTGTACTCTGCATGCTGGAATGGATATCCGTAATTAGTAAACACGTCGCATTTATTAGATTTGGCTGGATTCTGAATCTGACTCGGAGGCATTCCGAGTAAGCACAAGCTTTCATCGTCAGTCTGATACTCGGGGATATGATATCCAGAGAGGCCAAAGATATCTAAAGTCGAAGAGTAGGCTGGGCCGCGGATTTTGAGAAGCTCGGGATCGGGGTTCGGGTTATGGGTACGGAAGAACGAGCTGAAGATATCATTGAGCATCTGGGAGTGACTGATGTCTCTAGGGCCATAATAGGGGTCAACATTCTGGGTCTTCGCGTTCAAGGTACCCCAGATAGGTAGGACATCAGCCGTATGACATGTCGCGTTATAGTTGTCATTGGGGGAGCAGACTTTCGGTACATCGGCAGTAGTTTGGACGTGTCCGTGCTGAATCTGGACGGTATAGAGCTGGGGAAGTGCGGTTCTGGCACCGTGGTGAAGCAGATAGGCCTGAGGACAGAACCATTTTGAGTGGGTAAGAGCATCGGCACCGGTATTTCGGAGGCTGTCTGGGTCGCTGTGATCGATAGGGAAAGCGCCTGACTTGATAAGAGATGTTGCTAGACTGGATGGATAAACAGCGTTGAAGAATACATCAAGGCCAATATTGGTACTGCCGATCAAAGGAATGTGAGGAACATAGCGATCCACGTAGAGGGCGGCTTCATCGGTCACTGTAGTGAGCATGATAGGGACAGCGTTGGGGAGACGATTGGTCGCAAGCAAGGTATGGAATTGGTCATCGATAATGCCCGAGCCACGGTCATCAACAATGGGCATGAATGGCGAGGAAGAAACCTGGAGCTTTTTGGTGTGTAGATAATCATTCCCTACTGCGTTTGCAATCTCATCCAACGCATGCGCGAGTTCGGTTGAATTATCGAGATACTTAGCTGCAGGGATAGAGCGAAGGCAGGACAGCATGACAGGCTCATCAGCGTCATCACACCCGACAGCCTTCGCAATCCTTGGGGTGATGATCTCTGTATAAACCTTTCTTGAATACCAGGGTACGTCCAGGGCAGCTGACTGCACAACTGCAGCGGAGAAGAGGCCACTGGCAGCACTTGAAGACAGCATCGCAATTACACTTTGGCCACCAGCAGACTGGCCAAATATAGTAACCCGTGAAGGATCCCCGCCAAATGTTGTTATATACTGCTGAACCCATTTTAGAGCCAAAATCTGGTCCTGAGTGCCGTAGCTTCCAGTAGTGAAGTTCTCTGTTGTAAGCCAGCCCAGGGCTCCGACGCGGTAATTGACAGTAACAACCACAATATCATTACGACTAGCGAAGTTACCACCGTCATAGTCAATCATAGCCGTAGTACCTTTAGTGAATCCACCGCCGTAGAAGTAAACCGCAACAGGTCTGGGTGCAACATTCTTATCAGGCTGGGATGGTAGCACGGGGGTATAGACGTTTAGGTAAAGGCAATCCTCGGAGATCAGACTGTTTTCAAGTGTTCCAAAACCTGACTGGGATTGAATACAGGAGGCTGGTAGTTTCGTTGCGTCGATCTCCTTCTGTCCAGTATATGGCTGTGGAGGTGCGAACCGCAACTCATTGACTGGGGGATCGGCAAAAGGTATTCCCAAGAACCTAAAGGATCGAGCGTCCCGATAACCAGTTATAGTATAGCCATCGACCGACATAGAAATCCGAGAAGACTTCACAGGTTCCCTGTGTTTGTCATTAGTCGGGGGAGCTCTGGAGGTACACAGTGTCGGGAGCTTTGCATCGCAAGGCAGCGGGATGGCAGCCTTATGTTCTTGAGAATATGCCATGCAGGATTGGCCAGATGTACCCGAGGAGCCTATCCAAAGTGCAGAGCCTGGCTGCAGATCCTGACTATGCACGAGATAGTCAAGTTCGTAGCCCAGTTCGGTGCGATTGAGCTCCGTTGTATCCTGGAAAGGATAGAGACTTTCTCCAATGGCACCGCATTTCGCGCGCGCCTCTGCACTGCTCAGGGGCTCATAGGCCAACAATGCCGCTGTCCCATTGTTCCAGGGGTCCAGGTAATTGTACTTTAAGGCCTGTAATGTGCCTAGTAAGTTGATTGTGGGAGGTGCCTTAGGAGTTTCGCTACGCGCAATAGCAAACAAACAAAACAACAAAGGAATAATAAGAGACAGAAAGTAAATCATCAGGGACGGTTGAAGATAATACGTCGATAGAGTCAATGAGAATCTATTAAGAGACTCAATGGTCTGCACTATAAGTGGTGAGTTCTAAGGGTTAGGGTAATCGCTTGGCACCCCTAGGCTCGAAGAGCTTAGCGATCATATTTGCTTAAAAATGCTAAGTATTTGATATTTTATGGAGTCCTTTAATATTATTCCAGGTTATTATCATCAGTATTGCCATTGACCCCTTCCCCACAAAGGCCCCTAGAGCACAAGTGGTAGGGTTATTATACAGAATGTATAGTAGAATTTTTATACATAAGAGTCTCAAGTCACACGGCATATAGTTAAGCTATGCTAGGACATAGGCAAAAAGAATACCAAGCGATTCAAAACAATACACCGCAACGGCATATAGTTAGCGGCATACACCTTTCCACCGAAACAATAGTATCTTGAACTCCGAAAATACAATCTAGGATTGACCAATTTTCACTGAACGTATTGGTTCAGAGACAACAAGAGAGGCAACTGATCAGGGCTGTCTAGTGAAAAAATATGACATCTCATCCGCTAGACTGGATTCTCTTCTCCTTTGGTGAGTTATCGCAGGTGTCATATCTACCAGGTGGCCCAGACCTACACACGCGCAGGAGGGCAGCCACCGGATCATGTTGAGATTTTCTTTGGGTTAGGTGGCTGATCTCCTTTAGCTGAGCTGGGGGTGATGAGGCTTGCAGGAGAAAGCAAAAAGTTGGCCAGCAAGAATTCGGGCAGAAGAATCTGAGTTGTCATGTTAGAATCTTAATGCATATCTATGCATTGCTCGGTGGAGTCGCATTCGGACCCGAGATCGGCCGTGGGCCAATTGCGGCCCGAGCCCTAGTCTCAGACTCTGACCAAGGGAAATTGTACATACTTGCATGAGGTTTCGTAGATCGAGCAATCAGAAGACATAGGGTTTACTGAAAAATACAAAACACACTCCTTAAACTAGTAAGGAAGGCACCTAATCTAGGGATGAGGCGATACAATGTATTTTACCACAAGACCAATATTACCCGCGAGTTACCTCTCCGTGGGCCCGAGAGCTACTAAGTAGCGCACTGAATAGTCTAAGATCTGCGTGCCTTACATAGTATCATATGCTTGCATCCATCTAGAGAGAAACTTTACCGAGGCATGGGAGTATTCCTCTACCCTACGGGACCACCTTTTCTCTCACTGCGATGTGTGAGTTTCTCTACTCGTGGCGATTTACTAAACAATTAATATGGTCAATTGATAGGGAGAGTACTAGGAAGTAGGGCTTGTTCTCTCACTGGCACTGTAAGAAATTCATATTCGAGCATATATTCAGTGAATATAGTGTAACGCAAAACAAACATGAAAGATATATTTACCCTATTGGTCACATCCCTTAGACGAAGTCCACCTCTCTTACCAGCACAAGAATAGGCAGCGCCGCAAGAGTGCTGAGTACCGGAAATACTGCGTCTCAATGTCAATATCGCCCACCACTCAAGCTTAATGATGACACTTACGCGCAGCAAACTGAAACCCATACAAGTAGCATTCACGGACAAGATGCTGCATGGGGGCTGGCAATGTACGGGCGAAATTGTCATCGTTAAGGATATTCCGGACAACCTAGTAACTCTTTAGAGTTCTGACATAGCTCAGAATTGAAGGAAACGTACCTCCGAGGTATTGGGTAGAGTCTGCAACTTCCAGTTCAATCTTGCCTTGAAATGTCCTTGTATCAAAGCGAAGCCTATGGCAGGGCCGAGAATTCTACCCAGTTGTTGGAATAAGTAGTACGTGCCTGTGCATTGTATTAGAGTATCTTCTGTTAGTTCTGCGGTCATGCCAATGAACTGAGTAGCAAGCAGCATTCCCGCTGTTAGACCTGAAGGGAACAGAAACACGATTTCCCAAATTTGGATGCCCTTCCGCCACCGCATGAAGACGAATAGATAAGTTAACACAAGTAGAACGATTGCGATAATTCCTAAGCGTTTATAACGGCGTGTCCTTAACCGAGGTGAGAACTGTAAGCTGGGGTGAGGGTCGAGGATTGATGAGGAGGCTCACCGTCTGACTATATGATTTGCTAGAAGCCCTCCGACGGGTAGGCCAACAAGCAACATGCCACCTGCTAGGAGAGTGGCTGCATCACTTCCAATATTAGTTCGCGTAAAGTACGGAACTACACTGGTGAGGAGCTAATCGTGAGTGTTATAGTCAGCCATAAGCAGATACGTTAGAGGAAATACAACTGCTCACCCCGGTTCGGCCAGCCAGAATCAAGAATTGTGAAAGACAGTATCCTCCAAACGCCCTTTTCATGGAGCCAAGAGGGAGTAATGGCTGGGACGCCCAACATGCCTCTACCCAAACAAAGGTTACTATCGAGAGAATAGACCCAGCCCCCGTTATGTACAACAGACGGGGTTGCTGGAATTGGCCTGGCTGAAGAGTCTGGATGAAGAGAATTAGTTGCACTATTGTGACTGCGAGACTAAGTATACCAGGCCAATCAATACGTTGGACTCCGGAAAGAAAACTATGGTCCATGCTCTGGGAGGACTTTGGTAAATCAGGAGGAATCTGGTATACGGCAATGGACGCGCAGAGTAGGATCAATGGCACGTTGCTATAGAAACACCTATATGATTGGACAACAGTTAGAACAAACAGTAATTTATGAATGATGCCTTGAGTTACTTAACCATCTCCATCCAATTGTCTTTGTGAAAAAAAACCCGACTGCAGCTCCTACGCTGCGCCCGATTGTATTGGCCACATCGGCATAACTTCGAAGCCAAGTAGCCTCATAGGATGGGATTAGCCCTTTCCAATATTAGCAGCAGGGCCTTCCAAGTTTGTGAAATCCGTACCGGTGACAGAAGCGGATGATGAGGAGATGATTCCCGCGCTGGTAAGTCCAACCAATACTCTTGCTGAGACTAGCTGAGGCATTGAAGCGCTAGCTCCGCTGCAACATATAAGAAAGTAAAGAAACGACAGTCAGCTGGTAAACATCTTTAGGGTAAATTGGTATCAGGAACTGAACAAACCACAAGATATTGCCAGCGGCGAAGAGGAAATATGTCCATAACAGCGTCGTCTTCTTTCCATAGAGGTCATTGAGTGCCCCAAACTAGTCCACGACGATCGTATTAATTCTGAACGAGAGCATAAAACGAATTGCTCAGAAGCTACTTACTGCAGGAGAGGAAATACAAGAACCTAGACTATACGACACAAGCAGCCATGCTCCTTTTGAAAGATCGTGAAAGTCCGAGCCAATAGAATTATAAACGGCAACAATCAACGTGTCTCCTGCGCTTGCCAGGAGAACACCTATGCAATTTGTCACTTGACGAGTCTTCATGGGGACGAGGAGCACACTTACCGATGTATATGCCGGCAACCACTAACAGCTGTAATGGGCTGAGTCTAGTGGCCTCAACTTTATCATCCAGGGATATGGAACTACCCCGTTGTTGAAGGGCCACTTCACCAGACATTTCACCTTGTCTCAGAGATTTACGATAGCAAGTTGGAGTGGTGTTATGGCATTTACCCAAACTATTTTCTGAGAGAGGGATGCTCTGGACGGGCTCGGACTGCCGCGGAATATGATTCAGATACTATGCCAGGAGATGGTTAAGAATGCCTTAAATTTTTAAATTACTGCGATGAACGAAGACAGCAAGCATATACGGAGTACTGCACAATTATTCTGCAGACCCGCGTTTAGTTGAAATCCTTACACCCCATACAATACTATCATTTCATTTGTGAGGGCAAACTAGTAGTGGAAGCTGCAGACACTCTGCAGTAGACTCTATTGAGACCATTTATTTTTATTTTCACTTTTTACTTTTTCTGAGTCATTTCCCTATCTCTTCTTTTGCTGATTATTCCCGATATGAACCAGGAGTGCTGTAAGTGAATATCCACAGCACAACGCAAGGGGTTGCTTTTGAGATGCGCCCCGAGGTACTCCGGAGTATGCACCATATTGTCTTTCTTTCTTACTTTTTTTTTTTTTTTTTTTTTTCCAATGATGATCATCCCATCATTCTATGCGCAAATTAAATATTGATATGATCAAAAAGCAACCCATTGCTATTGAGATGTGTCATATGCACTGTGCACTATGTGACAATGATCGGCGCCAGCTCCCGATATCGTCTCTCCACCCGTAAATTAGACGCAGATATCATCACACTAGGATGAAAGATAACGAAGACTCCAACTGCTATAGCCATCATTACTGCGTCCAATATGATGAAATATTTTTCATGTGTAATGAGATATCCTGTCCATCCTTGTGACAGCTCAGCCAGCCGGTATATACTTCGAACACAGATACACAAAACACTAAGAACCATACCAGCAAACAGAAACAAAACGCCCCTTGGAATGGTACCCTGCTGGGGATAGACGGCTCTAAAGACACAGTCTACCATACAGACAGCAAAGGCCAATGTCGAGGCCAACTGAAATGCAATACCGGCGATCATAATGTGTGTCCCATCGGCCATATCACGGTGAGCACTGAGTGCGGCGGAAGCAAGACCGCCCCCAACAGCTTGGACTGCAAGGGAAACGAGGTCACAGGCACTGAAAAACCAGAAGTAGCAACCTGACCGGAAGTAGGAGGATTTCTGCCCGAAGAGTCGGATGATATACCCCAGGAGCAGGTAAATGCCGGCTGAGAAAAATGTTGGTGCTGGACGTTGGTTAGTTCCGCTACTGGTTTGAACTCCGTAGCATTGTCCTGACCTATGATCAAGGTAGAGAGCTGCATGAGAAATGCAGACTTGCTGTATGGGCATTTCGCCGACCATATTCTAGCCGACCATCCTAGGACCTCCACTATATCGGAATATGTAGATTAGCGCGCAAGACACTCTATATTCAAACTGGGTTCAAGAGATCGGGTGAGAATGGGCTTGCGCACCTAAGCAGCCAATAACGAAGGCCATACACCACCAGGTCTGTCTTCGAACACATTGGACAATGTGCAAGATCATCAAGATACTGAAGAGGGTCGAAAAGAATACTGCCGCGGCCAACGAAGGCTGGTATCCATATAGGTTTGGTACGCCGTCAATGACTGGATGACAAGCCAAGGGCTGGCCATGCCAGGAGTTTGGCATGCTTATGGGGTCAAAGAAAATGTTTGTTAGAGTCCGAATTTGATCCCAAAGAGAATATCAATGGTATGAGTAGTGCTTCATCCTTGGGATTGCGGCCAGGCGCATATATAGAATTCACCGGCATTCCGAGATCGCTACCAGAAATATTCTATGACGGAAACGGAGACGCGTACTGATCTTCTAAGATATGGATTTGTCAAATTGCTCATGGCCATTATCACGACCAGTGATAGTAAATGCCACGGCATAACAGAGTGGGACCACCAATAGATCATATTTTATAGAAGATCAAGGTACTCCGGAGAAGTTCGTCTACCCCCAAACGCCACTTATCAGTAGTTTGTATTATGTGGATCCAAAACAAAAGCGTGAATATGTTGTTTCTCCTATTGGCCTATGGACGAAGCATATTAGCATTCAATGCAGGTGAGCTCTGATAGATCACAAAAGCGCACTAAGCGCCCAGAAAAAGGCTCTTTGCAGAGAGAAAACAGGCTTCCTTCATTCCATTTCAACAGTTGCATGACCTCGGAGGCCCCTGATCATAGGTCGGTGCTGATACTCCAAGTTTATCTCAGTGATTGCACACTCATCTTTGCCGGAGCAAACATCTGTCAAGACATCGTATTCACTATGGCAAGTATTTCCCAATCAATACTCCTGACCTTCGCTAACACAGGCTGTTTTCTAAAGTCCGCTTTGATTGGGGTTTCCATTTCTTTTCAGACACTCGCTTTTGCATTCTTGATACCCTCAGCTTTTGCTCTTAGGGTAAGTTGCTTGGTGATATAAGGCCGTATAATGCTTTTCAAGGTCGGCATATCTAACATCTAGAAGACAGTTCAATCAAAATGGGCCACAGTTGTGGAAGCCTTAGCGGTCCTTGTAGCTCTTGTTGGACTCTGGATCTATGGTGGGAGTGGATATCACACGTATAGGATCCCCCAGATCGGATTGACCATTCTTTTGTTCATGCGACAATTACTGGGATTATATATTCATCGAAAGCAGAAAGTCCACTCCGAACGTGTCGCGGAATACTTGGGACATGCTTACAGTATTGCAACCATGGCTCTGTTTTTCCTTGGTTGGTACCACATCACAGCTGGGTCCGTGGAATCCGTTGGGATTCGCGAGAATTACTATAATACCCTCTCACATGCAGTTCTCCTGCTGCTCGCAATGAGCGAAGGAATCTTACTGCTCTCCTCCGCTGTTGGGCTGTGGCCCCGTCAGACTAATCGGACACCCGACTATTATGATGCTGTATTACTTCTTATGTGCAGCCTGGTAATGGTTGTGGTCTTGATTGTTGGGTACCACTCAGATGAGGACTGGCACTTTTTTCTAACACGATTGGAGCATTCATCGTATACCATAATGGTGCTTTGTGGGTCACTAACCAGCATCATGCTCAGCACAAGGAAGGGACATCAGAACAAAAGAAATATTCTCCCGGCACTTACCTCTGTGATTCTCGGGCTACTGTTCACATCGCATCAACAAGAGGCCATGCTGGTCAAGAAAGTCCATGAAGCCCTCGGGTATACTATGATGACTGCGGCGGCTTTCAGGATTATCGAAATCTTGGTTGTACCCCATTGGCCGGTCAATGTTTCAACAGACGCCTATAGTATTCTGCGTTATGTGACTTCACTGGTATTGTATCATCCTGGCTTAGGTCTTTGAATATGTCTCTGACAGCTTCTAGTTGGTGGTGATTCTCAGCTTCGTGTCATTTGGATCGTCGAGGGATTTGTGTCAAGCAATCGAAGAAACTGGATTCATGGCTGCCCCATACGTGGCCATTCTATACACATGTGGCCTTATCTACTTCTCCTGTGAGACTATCTGTTCGCGCATTTCTATTACACGTAATGCTGACAGCGGTAGTTCTTGCCAACCTCATCCATCGCATCAAGGATCATTTGTATCCTGATGAAAGCGATGAAAAATACGAATATTCATCTTTGCCAGGAATGCAATCGGACAGACTTGGATATAATCAGAACTTGGACTGAGACTGTTGACTGTGCTGAAAATGCGTTTCTCACAAATGGCAAGCACTCCAACTCGTCTTGAGGTCCATATTTGTGGGCAACAGGATTCAAAGACATTCCTAGCTAGACTCTGGTGTTTCATACGTTGACCCTTTGACAAGGGAAGGAAAAATGAGAGAGAGAACGTTGTAGGTCGGGAAAGAAAGGTATGAGAGAGGGGGAAAACATAGCTAGAATAGCTTGTGTTCTATCCGGGAGTAGTTGGCACATGCCCTGTAGAGGAATGCATTATGCATGTGCTAAATGTCCCAAATATGAACTACTATCATGGTTGGCATGGATCGTATCGCGACATTGCCGATCAGGCCATTCCATAATTATTTTGGAAATAAGGTACATAGAAGCGACTATCGCCTAAATGACCTTTGGCATCGAGGAACCCTGCATGCAGGAGACATTTGCACACTGTTTGTAAATATTGACGGCCCTGGCCGCGTTGCCTGGTCGTTGAGGGTGTTTGTTGGGAATTGAATTAGCCATTTACGGGATTATGGATACCTCACATCGCTAGGAAGATGCTAGCTAAGACTTAAATTGGGCTTTTCCAGCTGTGTGGCATGCTTGGACCTCACTCCCTTCACCTGCACCTGCTCTTCTTCTGCTCATTTACCAGGCCATTGTCCCCCGCCTTCTTATCTTACCAGGACGCCATACATAACCGATGGAAAGACTATACAACTCGGCCTGCAAGGCTTTCATTTCGCAGCATCCAACCTTGCATAAAGAATGCCTGGCCGGAACCCGAATAAACACCTTCGATGGCATCTCTCTCTCGGGGATTCTGCTGTTCGGCGCGGCCCTGAACCGCGTCATGCTTGATTCCCGCGTACTTCACTCTTTATACGGTCCGATGTATGGGACGCTCACCACTCGGGAACAGCAAAGATTCTGCTTCCACCATGTGAACGTAGTACTGAAAGGTATACTGCTGGCCTGCGTATCGTCCTCCATCGTACAGGTCACGATAGGCGGCAAGGAATGGACTGATCGATACTACGACGCCTGGCCCGTGACTCTGTGGGAGACATCCACCTTCGCCGGCTACATCGTGGTTGCAGTCAGTCTCCTGGACCTGATCTACGACACGAGTCTACGGCTCATCTACGTGGTGCACCACATGGGCGTGCTGCTTGCAGTGCAGGGCCTCGTTTTCCTCATTGTGAACGCACCAGTAGACAGGGCACGAGAATTGCGGTATCTGGGGACGATGTCCGAAATCGGCATCTTCTGGGGTAAGTCAACAACTGCCAATTTACTTTTGTATCACGGGCCGTGCGGTTAACACACACTGGTAGTTCTGTTCTCGGGGATGCCCGGGTTCACCTCGCATCTGACGCTTATACTCAGACGGTGCTTTGCGCATGGCGATGTTAAGATGCGGAACCTGTATTATTATGCGTTCTGGGTGAATGTCTCGGTAACAGTCCTTGAGGTCGGATCGATCTTTTATCTCACTTTTGCGAATCGGAACAGACTACCTGTTGCTGCTTCAATCGGTATTTGTGTGCTGCAGTCTTTGTTCACATACACTAAGGCGAATAAGTGCCAGCGTATCTATGCTGTGTATGAAGAACAGGTGGCAGTGCTTAACAAGATTCGACTATGATTACGGTTGATTAGCGTCTTTTTGTACGAATGTGTTACATACAACGTCGCTTAATAGGTCCCTTAGACATCTTAGAAGACCAGGGGCTATTTTAGGGGGTATCATCCATGGATAATCTGGGGGATGAAGAAATTAATCCAACTTGTATATGTAGCTAAATACCAAAATACTTTCGGCTGATTGACATATGTCTTTCACATAGTACAAAAAGGGATCGAGCTTTCTATTGTATCCAGCCTCCCACTTAGTTATTCTATCCTTTCGTATCTATAGTCCATCTGGAACACGTAGTACTACCAACACCCTATGAATAGCTCAAACCAATCCTGTTTACGAACTGAATCACGGAGTTCGTACTACACAAAAAGTTTTGACCCTTCGCAACTCGCCCTCAGCCTATCGTGGCTACTGCTTCGCCAACTTTCGCTTCGGCCCGGACAGGTATGATCTGACGAAAAACCGAAGAAAGAGAAATGTCAACGGTATAAGATAGAGTGTGGTCAAGAGCAATGCAAACACTTGCCCGCTGTTGTCCAAGCATGGAACCAGGTGGGAATTATCTTGGGGAAGGGATATGTTCGTCCGACTCTCATTCCCATGGTTTTCTTCGCGTTTGTTATCTATCGAAGCTAATGGGGGCCAGATAGACGCATCGTACGAAATAAAGATGTAGGACCATGCGAAAATCGATCCGAGGATGAACTGGGCGATTTGCATCCCAGTAAGGATACGTTTGAGAAAGCCCGGTACTGCAATCTTGAGGGTGGCAAGGGTGTAGTAGAAGTACTGGTTTTGAGCAGATGTTAGCGAATTCTTGAGAGTATAGCCTGGGGTTGCTTGTCGCTTACCATGATTGTGTGGATCACCGAGTTCAAGAGAAGGCCGACAAGACCCGGTGGAGACGCGTATCTCACACCTGCCCATGTGCATAACATGACACCTGCATGGTGATAAGTTTGCAGGAAAGAGCTCTTCTTTCCCTTCAGAAGAAGAAGTATTGTATCGACAACCTCGTAGAATTTGGACATGTAGAACATCCACATGTAGTAGTCAATACCGCGATCCCATAAGGAATCAAACTGCAATATTTCATGATGGGGAATGTTAAAACTGTGGTCATTTACATCCAGCTGAGAACGTGGTTCTTCTGATATCCTTCGCTGGATGAAATAACTCAATTCTTCCTTCCTGTCGAATTTGCAAAGTACGTGTATAGCAGATGCGAGAGGTTGGCTATGTCGTTGATTCATTAGGGTCGATTTGATGGTTTGATAAGTGCCCAGGGCCATCCATGCAGAGAAGAGCACCAGACCCACGTTATGGACGAGCACAAACTGAGAAAATAGAGGACTACGGCTTAGGGGCCATGGACGATTTTGTCGCTTTCGGTTGATATGATTGAAGGTACAGACAATTAATGCGTAGAGGGTGGCGATAAGCAGAGGTAGTCTAACATCGAGGGTGCGATAGAACAGAGCCGGGCTTATGTTGATTGGCCTATCCCAAGACAGCTGGGATCGCGATGTGGGACTGCTAGGTAGGGGATGAGAATCGGAGGGAAGTCTGAAAATGTGAGGATCCGGTAGTCCAAAGTACATGGGAAACATTGAATCCCCCATGTCGAAGAGAAGGTGGGTAAGAAATGAAAATTGCCGTGAGCCCTAGAGGACAAAAGAATACAACTGCAGTTGGGCACCTTGAGAGCTTGGGAATGGGAAAGTTCACTAGTATAGCACGAACTTGGTCCCATGACAATCGCCAATCCGCAGATGCTCAATATAAGTCATTCGACATAGCACTTGTCAATGACCGAAGGGTATGTCGGTAAAGTGTACGCAGTGGAACTCGAGACAACAAAGTGCCGATCTTTCCTACCTGAGATTGTATGATAATATTTGGTCGTAGCTTAAAAATGCAACCCTGTATGGAACGCGTAGACAGCAGGGATCTTTTCCAAAGAGGAATACCAAGCATATGTGATCAGTTCGAGTTGTGGGCTGGCTTTGACCTACCTGTACCAAATCCGGCCGAGTTCGGGGTGGGTTATCAGGAAACCTCCTGCGTTAAAAAAGTCTAAAAGTATTGATTTGACTTCGAATCAATAACACTGAGGTTGATCTGGCGTCTAAGGTGGATCACTGTACCTGGCAAGAGAGGAGCATGTTTGGGCGTCCGTGTGTGATACCTCCGAAAGTTGTCCATACTTGAAGTACCACGGAGCAACTAGCGGATTTTGCATGCAAGAGAACGAGCCTCTCTTCACAATCTCAGACAGGTCACAAGAAAGGTATTCATCCATATCTCCCCCATCGTAGTATCCGCTGGGATACATCCCCACAAAATAATTTGCGCGACAGCAATGTTGTTGCTCCAAGCGTCTGGCTAATACTGCTATCACAGCACTTCTAGGTTTTCTGGACGCAGTGGGAAATTCAAAAGAGCAATATGGAAAATGAAAGGGGCAAGGTCATTCCTTGTAAACTGATCGAGATAATTACGCTCCTTACCCGGGTTGAAACAATAGCACCGCAAAAGAGGAAGCTGCGACCTCAACCTTGAGGCTCGTAGTCAAAATGGCTATGGCAAGTTAGCACCTTCCTTGGAGAACTCTTTCCGCAGGTTAATCGCCTTGGTTGTACTGTATTCACTCCCAGAGTCTCTCACGAACCACTCGCAGCATTATCTTCCAACTCTCCCCGATCATCTCTAAATTTCAGATGAAGTAGCACCATACTCTTCATCTGTTAAGGTAAGCCAGATGCTTCCTATGACAGATAGACGGGGATCTAACTGATTCAGATGCACTACATTCAATACAGCATCGGCTGTCTTCTTTCCCTGCTTCTGACCGGAGCCAAAGGGCACGAAGACAAACTCTTCACAAGAGGCCCAGCATTCGCCGCTTATCCCTACCCGACATTCTTCATTGAATGCCCAGAAATCGGCGCTTCAGGCTCGCGCATGGATATCGCACACACCTACGACGGTAGCGGATATTTCCCAGAGTTGAGATGGCCCATCACCACGGCAGATACTCAGGAATACGTTCTGGTGTGCGAAGACCCCGACGAACCTCTGACCGCACCAGTTATCCACGGACTCTACTATGGAATCCCACCGGTGTTCATCGGTCTGCATCGTTCCGACTTCGTTGAAGGGGACTCCAGGAATGATCCTTATCGTCTCCGCGGTGGGTTCAAATATGGAGCAAACAGCGGAGGAGGGGTCTACCTGGCGCCGCAACCAGCTCGAGGCCAGGGCCCTCATCGATATTTCTTCGAGCTCATCGCGCTTAATCATACCATCGACCAAAGCAAACTCAGCCCTATGGCGACTTTCGATGAGATTGCCCGTCAGATGGAAGGCAAAATTATCGGATGGGGTGAGTGGTATGGAGTTGTCGAGAGAACTTGACAGGGAATGTATGAATAGCAGATGTTGGCGTAACGCTTTATGATGTGCTCGTGCAGTATGCACTACTCAATGGGAAGTCAATGTATGTATTAAGTAGCGCCAATTAGTGATTCCTGTTGACAATTTTAAAACAATTGCGAAGTCGTCAGACCTTGTAAATACAACGTGTGTATACTTAAGTTGAACGTCGTCGTCACGTATCATACAAGGGATTTCTTCCTGATATTAGAATCTCATTAGACCCACAGGAAGACTCTGTTTTGATAAGATAAACCTGTAGCTGAAATATATGCCAGAAGGAGGCCATGTTATCTATCCCGCAAAATGGTTGGCGGAGAGTGATCAGAAAGGTATACAATGATAGACCCCCTCAGGGTGAAGATATTAGTCGGTATCATTTTAACTATGTACCTGTTAGAGAAATGGTATTCCTTCGGATGTGACATCACTTCATTTAAGGGTAGTTAGTATGCCCGACTAACTTTACTTGCGAGGTAACAAAGGACAGGGCAACAGGGCACAGCAATAGTTCTTTGATGACATGGGATTTCATCGCCTCGCCTCACTACTCCAACATTCGAGCGAAAGTCGATGAAGGTAGAAAATGTATAAATATGTCCAGTATCTCTATTTGTTAGCTTCCACTGAACCGGAAAACAACAAAACTACAGAATCTTTTTATCACCCAAATGAAGGCCTCTTACACCCTCTGTCTTTTTTGCTTTCATTTGCATTGCAGGAGTAGAAGCAGTTCCACAGCTGCTATCATCGCTGGAGTCTACTCCCCACTGGGACATACAAGACCCTTTGGATGGCCATAGGGTCGAGGTAAGACTCTATCATCGAGAAAATGGGTGGTTCTGGAAGACCAGCGATCTGGACCTGGACCAGTGTTTTGGTGTAGATACCGACAAGAAAGAGCTGATCGCCCAGGATAAGTACGTGGCGTCGTCCTGGCCTAGTGGATCTGAATCTGAGATGCTGATATATTTGACGTGCAGTGGGAAAGCCCTGAGCAAGTGCGAGGAAGAGGGCGGGGCGTGCGCGGTATCTATACTAAGAGAGGTGGTACCGGTGGATTATACACTACACTGTAACTGTTCATCGTTTAAAGGCAGCATTGATCTGAGTGAGTACAGTTGCGCTGCGTCTTATCATGAACTGTGTGCATGAGTAATTAATAATCTTGCATAGGGACTGTCCTCAAATTCCATGGCAAAACTGGCGATGCCGAGTGCTTCGGGCACAAGGGTGTGAATGGCTTGTTAGAGAGTATCAGATCAAAATTCGGCTCGTCTGGCTGAGAGGCGTGCTGGTGGCTTGGTTTTGTATCAAGACTAGTCGAAGGACTCGGATACATTCATTCAATACCAATAGTAACGAATCAATTTGAAACATACCACGATGTGAAAACAAAGACAGCCTCTACCGCAGGATTCCAGGGTCTGTCCACTTGCTCTTGTCCCGATGAGATTCTTGTTCTTATACTGATCATAAAACTTCGCTGTGGCCCAGACTCCATTAGATATTCCGCCACACGACTTCTGCCCTGGCAGGTCCACCCTCTTTAAGGTTGGTGATACAACTATTAGTGAATTAGATAGGATTCCTCATGAGGTATGCTTCAAGCATGCCTCATTTCATTGTTGGCAGGAATTATGATGTACGCTTGTTCGCTGCTGCGTCCCCGAAGACATGCTCTCGCTTGGTGCGCTAGTCGAATTCCTGAGCCAACTTAAGCGCTGGACAACAGAAAATAGGCATCTCGGTGAAAGAAGATGGAAACTTACAGTCAGAAAGCTTAGAGGATTGGCGTATTTGCTCACGCACCGAGTCTTCCATATTTGTGGTCACTCTTTAGACCGAAAATTCCATGGTCATGTTTTCGAGTTCCAATATATTAAACTGGATTAAAAACATCTAAGAAGATAGTCTCATTCAGCTGCACTCAGGTAGATAGTTCGTAAGAACTAAGATAATGTATGCACGAGGCACTGGATCTGTGTTCTTCTGACGGTCGTATTTCATTCCCACAATACTCGGGGTGGAGGGGGAGTCATTACTCGTCACGGTACAGAGTAATCAGTGTGTTATCTTGACTAGTAATATCAAAATCCTCCCCAAAGGTTCTGGGGCTTGAGGAGCCCTGTGTTCAGCCGGCGCGCGCTCGGATCATTCATATTACTGATACCACTAGCCGAAGCAACAGAGATACTCAAGAGATACGAAGCATTGATGAGCTGCAGAACGTCGTCGCAGAGGCTCATCCTCAGACTTTTTTGAAACAGCGGGAAGGTGAGACTCTCAACCGACGACTCAGTCTTATCTCCGTCCACGAGTACCCAAGAGCGGGATGGAGATGATCAATTCCCTTTGTGAGAAGGCTGGGCTCGATCCTCACCGCCAGGAAAACTCAGGGACCATCGGCAACCCGTGATTATGATAGGTCGGGATCGATGTAAATTGAACAATGAGTTCTGTCAACCTCGTATAAGCCCAAAAAACCCGACGGTGGAGACGACCCAAACAGCCTTCACGAGAGTTCGATTGGTTCTGTTTTCTATATTCGAACCTTGTAACCGAAGACGCAGGGAACCGCAGCGGCGCAGCCTCACGCTTCCGTTTCAAGACAGCTAATAATGTCTGAGATATCATGTACCCAATATAGCTAACGTTAACTGACATAGTCAGCTATATTGTTTTGCATTCATTTGCGTATTTGGTTTTAATCCGACACCTATTCTAAGGTATATAATCAGCTGTGGCTGGATTCAAGCGTACCTACAAGCACCAATAACTTCCTGTCAAGTCAGCACGCAGCACGTGACTCAACCGATTGGCAGCTAAGCCGGCCTAAGGCAACCAGGCGACAAATGGGAAGGACAGCACAGCCACAGGCTAGTTCCGGATGAACAGGTTTAACTCCAAACTTGACCTTGAGGGCAGATCCGGCACCCGGTTCGGTCGGAGCTAAAATCAGAACGGCACTTGTCCGAATGCGGAGTGGTTAACCTGGGAATGGGTTTTGATTCAGTTCCCCAATTGAGATTCTGGTCCGGTGGTTGTGTCCCCATTGTACCTGTTGAGGACCCAATTGACTATGAAAGAATGTAACCTTCACTGAGTTTGCGTCAACCGAGGTCGTGACTAGGAACCAGGGGGGCCGTTGTTCAAGTTGTTCAGGTGAAAGAAGGAACCGGTGCGAATGATGATCCAATGGTGTTGTCAATAGTGGCTTACGAGATGGAAGGAAGCGATCTCCAGTGATCGACACGTTCTTCTATCTCAAGAATAATACGCCAACCCAATACGGGACGATTAGCGATGGTTGTCGGGGTACTATTGAGTACTCCGTTGAGGCTAGAGTATGGAGTACTACTGGGTACTTTCGTTGTGGAGGAGTTTTTGGTAGCGATGGAAGTCTCATTCAGTACCGGTTCACCTGAACCTAAGTGGGGAAACTCTCGTCTTCTGATCTCACAGTGGTGTCATCATCGACGGATTAGTTTTTTTTTTCTTCTCTCGTATCAGTTGTTCGGTAGGATCTCGGCCTCTTTTGTCTCTCTCCGTACCGGATTCTTTTTTTGATTTTGGTTTTTTACCCGACTGGTCTTGAACTCTGAGACATGCAAGGACGAATCATGATTGACGTTGACCTCGCATCTGATAGCTATTTATATGAACTTGCAGAGCGTTGCCTTACCGCGCACCACCTATCGCTTTCTCAACATCACTGGTATGCGTCTTCATGCATAACTGGGCTTAGTGCTGACGTCGCCCGGGGAGACATGGAGGAGATTTATCTGCCCGATAAGTGTACATAACATACCTTACATACTTTCGTACAGTCCAAACAAATACTTAAGAGAAGCCAAGCCGCATCGGTGCATTGCCACTTGCTGCTGAATTTAGTGCATTCCGACCATGGGTACCACTTCGACGATTTAACTACTATACTAGTTCCTTCGTAGTCTCCTTCTAGTCGGCAATGGACTGCTATTTCCAGTGTGTTGACTCTTCCAAGGTCTAATCTGAGTGGTTTTCCACGAGGGAGATCCACCGTGTCTGTCAATGTAATTCGTTACATTACCTGTTCCTTGAATTGACAAGAACAAAAAAAATTTTTTCTTGTGTTTTCTTTTTTTACTTTCCAGGTTTCTGGCGGATCCGATGCCGACGAACTAACGATCCGACTAACTGGGAAGGCTGACTGAGGTTCCATTATCAGGCCTGAAACCCAGAAACACAACAAAAAGCCCTTGTTCGCTATTAAGTGCAACCCTTTCCTCTTTTTCCCTTTTTCCTCCACATCCTTTTTCTCTCTCGCTCCCATTGTTCTTAATTCACCTCTTTGGTCATATTTGCTTTTCTTGTGGCTTCAACGACTCGACAAGGGGTTCCCGACCGTTTCCCAATTGATAAGAATAAACTTGTCGTCTTTTGCTGCCAACCCGCCAAGCTACCAATCAGCTTGTCTCAAGAACCACCCGACTCATCTGTTCTATACTACTTCATCCGACCTCAACAGTCGCCATGAATCGTCTTCTGAAGCTGACCGTCTTCTCTTTAATCGCATCCTCTGCGATTGCGACCGGCACTCCGGAGCAGGTGGTATCCGAGGCCACCGCGGTGTCCGACAAGTCCGATTTCTACAGCGATCTCGAGAACCTCGACATCCACAAGGCTCTTCACCTGTTCGAGAAGTTCCGTCATGGCGTCTTCCGCCGCGACGAAGACGCTGTGGACGTTCTCAGTGCCGAGGATAGTTCGCTGGCCGCCCGTCTGAACCTTAAGAGGCAGAACAGCTCGGCCGCAGTCGAGCCCTCAGCCACTGTAATACCATCCTCTCCTTCCTCCAACACTGAAGCTCCTTCTTCCACCACGGAAGCTCCCTCCCACCACACCACTGAAGCTCCCTCTCCTTCTTCTTCTTCTTCTTCTTCCTCTACAGAGGTTTCTTCTGCTTCTTCTGCTTCATCGTCTGACTCGTCGACTTCTCAGGCGGAACCAACCATCTCAGCGGAGCCTACCACGGCCACGCCGACTCAGAAGACCACCGTCGAACCAACCACCACGGAGCCTACCACGACCGAGAAGCCCACAGCTTCCCCCACGACCTCGGAGAAGACTACCGAAAAGCCTACGACCAGTGAGAAACCCACTACCTCCGAGAAGCCCACTACCTCGGACAAGACCACCTCCGAGAAGACCACCGAGAAGCCCACCACCACCAATCAACCCAAGCCTACCACCACCGACAAGACTACCAGCGAAAAGACCACCTCGGAGAAGACCACTTCGGAGCAGACCACCACCTCAGACTCCACCACCAGCAAGGGCCCAACCACCATGCAAACCACCACCTCCGCCCCGGAGCCCACAACCACCGAACAAACAACCAAGCACACAACCCCCTACACCTCCACCTTCAAGAGCACTACCACGCTGCCCAACGGCGAGCAAAGCACCATCACCTCCATCACCGTCGTGCACCCCACCGAAACCGAGATCGCCACGCCCACCGGCGCCGCCCCGGGCCTGCAAACCGACAACGCAGCCCCGACCACCGGTCTCACCCGCGAGCTCTTCGTCATGGTCGGTGGCGCCGCCGTCGTGGCCATGGCCCTGTAATCGGGACATATGGTATTTCTGAAAATGTGACGTTGTTTGTTCTTTTTTTTTTTTTTCTTGTCCTCTGCATGAATGGCGTTTGCTTTTTCTCTTTCTTCTGAAAATATTCGACTCTGTTACGTTGGTATTTTACGCCGTTCTGACGCCCGCTTACGATCCTTGCATACTTGGCGTCTTCCTTCCGAAATGTGTCTCTCCTTTTGAAGCTGGGGATCAGGGTTTGGTGTTATGAGCGTGGACATGTCTCTCCTTTATATGTGGTTCTGTCGAGCGTGTGCATATTTAGATCTTTGTTCTGTACTGCAGATATTGAGCAATCGAGGTATTGGTAAATATGCTGGAGTGGTGTTTTTTGAAACTTGTAAATGACATGGTTGTTCTGGCAGTACGTAGTGTGTATATATATATAAGCTTGATCGTAATGTCGACATAACTAAACAGACAGAGATAAAGAACTTTGACTGAGTTGGCTGCCCCGCCCCATCTATTACCCGCATTTCCCCTTTCTTATTCGCTGGATGCAAATACCATGCAAGAAATCTACGCCTGTGACAGATAAGTAGGCTCGTGACCGTGCCACCTCTCCTCTTCCGTCCAATACCGTACAATACTCTCCCACGCCGGGATATCCCCGTCTCTCAATAAGACCGCCACATCCACGTTCAGCGGGCTATCGGGCTCTGGGTTCGTCAGGAGCTGCTGGATCTCCGTCAGGGTCGACGAGAGCGTGTACGCGGGAGTCCAGTGCTCCGTCGTGAGGAGGGTCAGGCAGATTTCGCCGGTGGTGAAGGAGATGTTGGGGTGGGAGATGCGGGTGTTGAAGCGGATTGTGGGCGGTGCGTTGGGGTAGTTGGGGGGTATTGTTATCGAGAGGGACCACAGGCCACCTGGATTATTATATTGTTATTAGTCGCGATTCTGGGAGCGGTGAAGCGGGGGGAAGGGGGGGGGGCCGGTTGAGGAGGGTGATTCGTACCTTCGTATGGTGTTCCCTTGACACCCTTGAGAACTGCCTCCCAGTGGAGGAGGTCATCGCTGTCGACGGGGCCGAGGTGCAGGAGCGCTTCGTTTGGATTATTGGTGTAGTCTTTCAGTTCGCGGAGGAGGCGTTTGGTGGTGCTGGATGACGCCATGAGGGCGATATGTGGAATGTGGATCGCAGATTTGTCGCGCTGCGATGCTTGTTTATTATGGGAGTAATCAGAATGTGAGATTTAATTGAATATGCTTTGGCGTTGCTGTTGTCGGCAGATACTTCGAGGATTAAAAAGCAAGGGATTAAACCTCACGGCAAACTTAGTGGTTACTCACCGCGAGAGTTGCGCCGAGGCTTAACACCCGGTCCGTGGGTCTTTCTTCCCCATGCAATTCTGCGATCGTCCGCTCCGCATGAATGCGCTTGGCGACCCAGCCTGTCCAACCCCTAAAAATTCCGTCGATCCTTGATTCATGTGAATGTCATAACATATGCAAGCTACACATACATAAGGAACCTTTGTATTGAACTATGCGAACGTCTCGAGCATCTAAGCAGACTGAGAAAGTCTTGCAGGCGCTCTCGCCCCCTGCGCGCCGGCAAACGCGCAGTTCCAATCTACGCAGGTTTGCATATAACGGGAGCTCTAATGGCGATGTTGAACCTAAGGTACCTGCAAGTGATGATGAAACATCATCTCTCTCGTCTCTCGACACTGTCGATATTGAAGATATAATGGAGCCCCCGGCGAAACGGCGGAAACGCAAAGTAGACCCTGCGCCACCGCGGAAAATCAATTCTCGAGCTTCAACAAGGGTTCCTGAGAAGACGATTGAAAAAGCTGCCAAGACTGAGCCTGTAGCACAGAAAACACGCCGCACCCCTGCACGAAGAATCAAAGAAGAGGATGGTTCATTCAAAGTAGAGCCACCCTCTAATTGGGACACGATATACGCCACTGTCAAAAAGATGCGCGAGGCTAACCCGACTGCGCCGGTGGATACCATGGGATGTGCCGAGCTGTACTGGCGAGCATCATCTCCCCGAGACCGACGGTTTCAGACTCTCGTTGCGCTGATGCTGTCTTCCCAAACGAAGGACACCGTCACGGCCGTGGCGATGCAGCGATTGCACACTGAACTTGGGGATGGCAAAGCTCCTCTGATAGATACTGGTGTAATCAAAGAAGAGCCAGACGAGGACACGTTCAAGTTGGAAAGGCCTCTCAGAGACAGTACTTTGAATCTTGAGAATATTTTGGCTGTTTCCCCCGAGCAGCTGAACGAATTGATCGGTAAAGTGGGCTTCCATAACAACAAGACCAAGTATATCAAGGCCGCAGCTGTCATTCTTCGTGATCAGTACCAAGGAGATATTCCATCCACTGCCGAAGAGCTGATGAAGCTCCCCGGAGTAGGCCCGAAGATGGCATATCTCTGTATGAGCGCTGCTTGGGGAAAGCATGAGGGTATTGGGGTTGACGTCCACGTCCATCGTATCACGAACCTCTGGGGCTGGAACAAGACGAAAACACCTGAGGAGACCCGCAAGGCGCTGGAATCATGGCTGCCAAAGGATAAATGGCATGAAATCAACAAGCTGCTTGTCGGGCTTGGACAGACGGTCTGCTTACCAGTAGGCAGGAAATGCGGGGATTGTGACCTCGCGGGGATGAAACTATGCAAAAGCGAGATCAGAGGCCTTGTATCTAGCAGGAAGGTCAGTGCTAAGGAGGAGAGTGTCGAAGGCGGAGTGGAAGTAAAAATTGAGGGGGAGTGAGTAGAGTGCCCCAGGCACGAGGTTCTGGCTTTAACTTGATTTCCCAGCTGGGAACCACCGACATCAATTGACTTTTATTACATGCACAAATACTTCTCGTCTAATCTCGTCTACTCCTCCTCATTCTCCCAGTAGTCAACCTTGCTACTATTCCTACCTTCTTTTCCCTTCTGATGCTCCAGCCAGCCCGCCTACCTATCTATTGAATGTCTTGTTGCAATTTATGATCAACTTCATGAACCGTTAAGCGATCCTTACGACGCGCTCTTTACGAGGCGATTCTCTACCGATATTCTCATTCACTACGTGTAAGGCCCCTCCATCCCTATTCACTGTCAAATGCTCGGCCTCGTAATTCCCGGGCAACCTGCTGACTGTTGTGCTGTCAAAACAATCAGAACAGGCCCGGAATGGATACCTTGGACCCCGATGAACAGGCCTTTTGGCAATTATACAATGAATTGAACCCTCCCCCTTCTTCTATGGAGAGCCTCAGCGGGACGGAATCCCCGTCAACCGATGCAGGTTCTTTGTTTGCCCCTTCTGACATGGAGGTCGCCATGGGCCTCTCACTCCAGCCGGGTGCATCGTTTCTTAGTCTGCCAGAAACTGTCAAGATCAAGATTCTGCAGTATGCTGGACTACTACGCCCTTGTCTGATTGACATAACTAGCGAGTGTGTACGCTGGAACCCCACGCTTCAACCGTTGTGTAATCGCAGCTCCATGCGTGAGACTAAGGGATCATGGACTGCCTTTGTTGACAAAGGCTGTACTCACCCCCGGCTGCCCACTGCATTGTTCCAGACCTCTCGTGCTGTGCGCGATGAAATTGGTTCTATGTTTTTTGGCCTCAACAGATTCAGCGCTACTCTCTACAAGAGGGCAGACTTTTGCAAATTCTGTGAAGCGACACTTTGGGGTATGGAGCACTTGAAATATCTACATATTGACCTGGGTCCTAGTGACAGGCGCTTTCTCAAGCTGTATGGGGGGATCCATCGCACAATCCTGAAAATGTGGCTTGCTTTTTGTGACTTGGCTGCCGCGAGGATGCCTTCTCTCACGTACTTCAGCCTGAAGTGCAGGGTCAAAGATTTGGAGGTTGCACACAAATTGATGTGCGCGATGGATCATTTTCCTTCTTTGGCGCAATGTGCTATTCATTTCAATCAGTACCAGGAGAACGACATTCGAGCCGTGATCAAGCGATCCTGCTGGAGGCTGACCAACAACCTTGGCGATAGAGCTCCGTTTGGATTTCTGCGCCTTCCAAAAGAGGTACAACTTCTTATACTCGAACAACTTCTAATCAACCGCCCTGATCCGTATATCATGGCTTCTGAGTGTCCAAAAGGCCTCGTGACGTTGCAAGACCGCAGACGCCAACGACCGACCATTTATCCCCTCACGTGTTGCGGTACTTGCTCACCTTTGCGAGCTATGTGCTTCTGCTACGCTCGCCAAACAGCGTTCTCCACCACCTGTTCTTGTTTCTCCTCGCCAACGCCCTATTTCCTAGTCAGCCGAGGATTCTATGAGGATGCCCGTCGTGTCTTTTTCTCGAAGAACAACTTTGCCTTCACGGATGAAGACCCTGAGCTCATAATGAGACTTCTGCACTATATGCCTACATCGTCCTCCATGCAGATCAGGCACCTGACGTTCAAGTTTCCTTTGACCTTTCGAAGCCCTGCCAGGACTGCTCACAGGGTGGAGGATGCAGCATTGTTGTCTTGGTCAGTGTTGCGCCGCTTCATCCGTGAACACTTTGATATCCCTCGCCTGTCGCTCACAATCATCGACCTTGGCACGAAGAACTATGGCAATGGGGCAACCCCAGGTAGGAACAAATACCTACGCAAACTCCTCAGAGCATTTGCGGACCTACGTGTCCTCCGAGACTTTCGTGTGTATTTGGCGGATGAGCGTTCATATGAAAGAGACGCGGAACGGGTTGTGCTGGGTTTTGCGTGTCATGGAAGATCCAAACCCAGCCACATGCCGTTTATTGGCCAAAAACATCTGAACACATAAACCGCTAGTTTGGAGCAAGTCGGCCTCAGGCTGATATTATGTACCACTGGAGCATCCCATATCATTCACCTATTCTTTAGTTCTCATCATCCAATGCCTGATGATGAAGCTAATATAACATTCCATAATATTCTTCTTGCGCGCTCGGCGCCTGAGACGCAAACTCCCTTGCACAGAACACACATTTTTGTACAGGCCCTCCAATTTCACGACAACCGTTGATGCACGTTTGTTCGCCAGCAAGGCACCTCGAGAAGGCTCAACGATGTACTCCAATCTCCGGAGACGCAGCTGTCTGCCCTAAGAAAGTATGGAGGATGTGCTTGTGAATATCTCATTTCTTTTCTAGCCCTCGGTCTATTTGTTATCTCCTTTTTCGTCCACAGTTGTATTTTTCAAAGTTAGTTAATGAGTTTTGTTTTCGTTCCACATTGGTATACATCCTTCCCATAGAAGCCATTAGATCCAGTATTTATCATGGTTCTGGGGCGTTGTGAAAAGAAATACTGAGCCCATGTATAGTATCGCCATGTTTATATTAATCTGATCAATCTTACAGAAAGGAAGAAATATCCTCAAATACCCATCGCCAATTGAATCGACTTGGCAAGAATCATTGATCACATTGTAAACACATGACTAAGCAGATCAATTTATGAAATCATTAAAACCCCCGCGGACATAAAACCCCACCAGCTCGCTCTTAATTCCGAGCACAACAAACCAACGTCCTCAAGCTCTACACAACAATATCCAAAGCCCCACACAGCAGAACATTCTCATTCCGGAAACAAATAATCCATGACCTTCATCGACCGGAAACCAATGTTTATATAAATACCAACCAAACCTATACCTCATGGCTCCAGCACCAATCCCCATACCCCTCTTCGCCCAAACCCAGCAACAGCTCCTCCTCCAAGAGCACGAAGCCGAAGTCTCGTCCTCCACGCTCGCGAGCACCGCCGCATCCGTCTCACCCTCGACTAGACGAACCCTCCAAGCAACAGGCTATGCGCTAACGGGGATCGTCCTCTCGCAATGCCGGACCGGCCTCGGCGGCCGCGTCGTGGGCGAGTTCGGCGCCGATTCGGCCGTTTCCGCGAAGAATACAGACAGCGATGGGAAGGACGGGGAACCTCAGTTCGGGGCGCATGGGATTCGCGTGGGCGATGTGGTCCGGGTGAATGAGATCGGGAGCTCTTCAAAAAAGGTGGGTAAGGACAAAGCCAGCAAGGATGGGAAGTCGGCGGGTGCAGGGCCACCCAAGGGACCGGAGGGCGTTGTTACTCGGGTTGGGGAGCGGAGCATCTCGGTTGCGTTTGGTCAACGGGGCGGCGGAGGACGATCCAAGGAAGATGACGAGGCGATCGAGGAGCTATGGGGGAAGAAGCTCTGGCTGATAAAGCTCGCGAACGATGTGACGTATCGACGGATGAACCAGACGATGGAAAAGATGGGGAAGATGACCGAGTCCGATCACACACATTTTATGCGGGTTGCGTTTGGACATACGACGCCGCTGCTGCCGGATTATGAGGCTGTGGGCGCGGTTGAATTTAACGACCCGACGTTGAACGACTCACAGAAGGAGGCTATTCGGTTTGCGCTGGCATCGCGCGATATTGCGCTCATTCATGGTCCGCCGGGTACGGGGAAGACGCATACCTTGATTGAGCTTATCCTGCAAATGGTGCAGCGGAAATTACGGGTGCTTGTTTGTGGACCGTCGAATATCTCGGTGGATAATATTGTCGAGAGACTCGCGCCGAAGAAAGTGCCCGTTGTGCGTATTGGCCATCCGGCGCGTTTGTTGCCCTCTGTGTTGGAGCATTCTTTGGAGGTTCTGACGCATACGTCGGAGGCTGCTTCTATTGTGAGGGATGTGAGGAAGGAGATTGATGAGAAGCAAGCTAGTATTCGGAAGACTAGGTTTGGGAGGGAGAAGCGGGCTATCTACCAGGATTTGAAAGAGTTACGTCGGGAATTCAGGGAGCGGGAGTCTAAATGCGTGGATAATCTGGTTAGAGAGAGCAACGTGGTTCTTGCGACTCTACACGGAGCAGGTGGCCATCAGCTGAAGAATCAGAAATTTGACGTTGTGATCATTGACGAGGCCAGTCAAGCTTTGGAGGCGCAATGCTGGATTTCGCTGCTGTCTGCATCTAAGGTTGTTCTGGCTGGTGATCATCTACAACTGCCTCCAACTGTTAAGTCCACTGTTCAGAAGTCCAAAGATGCAAAGACCGGGAAGGCGGACACTGCCAACGATAGTGACCAGGGAAGTCTTGGTAAAATGTCTCTTGAAACTACCATGTTCGATCGACTGCTTTCGATCCATGGTGAAGGTATCAAGAGAATGCTAACGACACAGTATCGAATGCACGAATCAATCATGCGGTTTCCGTCAGATGAGCTATACGAGTCTAAACTGATGGCTGGCGAGGCGGTCAAAGCTCGTCTTCTAAAAGACCTACCGTACGAGGTCGATGAGACCGACGATACAAAAGAGCCGTTAGTGTTCTGGGACACCCAGGGAGGCGACTTTCCTGAGAAGACTGAAGATAAGGAGGTCGGGCAGAAGGAGGCCCTTCTTGGTGAGAGTAAGAGCAATGAAATGGAGGCCATGGTTGTTGCGAGGCACGTAGACAACCTGGTACAGTCCGGGTTGAAACCGGAGGACATCGCTGTCATCACCCCTTATAACGGCCAGCTGGCTATCTTGTCGCAGATGCTGCGGGAAAAGTATCCGGGTATCGAGTTGGGCAGTGTGGATGGATTCCAAGGTCGCGAGAAAGAGGCCGTTGTCGTCAGCCTGGTGCGAAGTAACAGCGAGAATGAAGTTGGTTTCTTGGGAGAGAAGCGACGCCTGAACGGCATGTATGTCTCCATTGCTGCAGGGCATGTATGCTGATTTACTCTACTAGTTGCTATGACACGCCCCAAACGGCATCTCTGCGTCTGCGGTGATTCAGAGACCATCAGCAAGTGAGTCCCTTGTCCTGACTACAACATCCCCTTGGCCCTCAACAAGTAGTTTTATTTGGGTGGATCTTGCTAACCTAGCCTTCTCTCATAGAGGAAGCGGGTTCCTCAAGCGGTGGATGGCATTCTTGGAAGAGAACGCCGACTTGCGCTACCCAGATGCTGGGGAACTACTCTGAGACAATCTGCTCCAAACCTCAGTTTCGTCTATACTCCAACACACTATATCCCTCAACTGTGGAGAGGGCGACTAGCAGGGTTACCCAACAGAGTTCGACACGATGCAAATCCCTGGAGGATGTTCACACTCAATCGGGTCTACGCCACGACCTTGGAGGTGCGGAAATTGCGAGCAGCGTCGCTACCATTATCGCTGCCATTATGGCGCCCCACCCTACGTTACATCAACTCCTTTGTTGATGATAATGGGAAGGTAAACCCCGTAAGACACGTCCGTGTGAGTTTCTGCAGCAATTCATGGAAGGGACTAAGCCCACTGGACTTTCCCTTATGTGGTTACGCCAAAGGAACGATTTCAAATCCGCCAGCATCCTCTGAAAGCCCTTGTTCTGTGGGAATGCGTCGGAAACATTATCCACCCATATTCACAAGTCAATACAGAAGCACGAGCAGGCCATATTGAACGAGTTGAAGGATGTCACGTGTCCATACCAATTCTGAGAGATTCTTCCCAGGAACGTGATCGGAGAAAATAGAATATAGATGCACGATATGTCATGGGTAGAGCCGGAGAAGCATATAACAATCCATAGATGCCTCTATACCACGGAGACCATGAATTCTTCTATATATATATATATATAATCTGTTTGACAACCAATCGAATTTGGTCAATAGAACCCCCCAGAACTTCAAACCCGAGCAAAAACCAAACCAACCCAACACAATAACCAAAACTCCCCGCATCCCAAAAAGCCCACGTACCAAACCCCCATGCTAGTGAGGGGGCACACATCTACTAGACCTGCCACGTCAACACTGACTGCGATCTTGCATGGAGCCTAAATCCCTAGTCGGCTTGGCTCTTACCCCTGCTAGCCAAATGCTTTCCAGAGGTATGCGCACCAGAATCCCACTAGAAACCATCACCACAACATACTACTATATCATCTCTGTCTTTGTCTCTAGCACGATAACATTCTTCACGACCCGAGCATCTGCCGAATAGATCATCAGGGGTAAAAACCCAGCACCCGATCCCAATTCCAAATACCGTGCAAATCCGTCCCGCCGCCCCTCCTCTTAGCTTGTCGCCGGAGACGTCGCTCCCTACTAAACTCGACCACACTAGTCTAGGGCCCGTTCGCGATCAGCGCTGACATTTGCCGCTAAGCGTCGGGATTCTGATACAGTCCGGCGCTCCGGTTATCAGCGCGCGCACGGCCGTTATCGGTTTTGATTTGTCGGGTGGTTTATCGTCGTGCTAGATTACTTTTGAGTGTTTTTGTGGGGTTGCGGGTGGTGTAATTTTTGGGACTTTTTTTTGGGGTGGGGGGGGGTCTATGGTCTTGAGGTTGGACTTTGGGGGTGTGAAGAGAGCGGATTGTATATAAATAGAAGGAAAGAGTGGTGGGCGTTTCAGGTGGGTTCCTGGTGGTGTGTCTGGGGAGTTTGGGTTCGGGGATGTGGCTCGTTTTGGGGTATGATCATTCTTTTCGGAGCTGAGTGTGGATGTTGGATGGAGTGTCGAGGAGTGTGTTGTACATGGTATAATATATTCCGCCGCGTGCCAACGTGAGTGTTAGCGGAGTATATGATATTCATATTTATATATATCCTGGCGACGACAGGGTGATACAGCATGCTCTACATTTCTCAGATCGGACAAGGCGTCCAATGAGATCCCATCGATGTTCCTAGGATTATGCAGGTCTACCTGATCCTATTCTCGACGAGCGACGTCCCGGAGGAATCGTGGATGGTGGAGTAAGCCTGTAAGGGAGCCACTTGGTGCGTCTCAGCTTTGGGCGGGTTCCACTCTTCCCATGCATGTCCAGCGCATCGTTGCATAACAAGCCCGGGTTAGTGTATTCTGACGTCTGCGAAGGATTTTCTTATTTTCTTACTTTTCGTGTTGTTCCGGCGTCTCTGCTGGCGGAGGCTGGTCGCTGGTGAAACGCTATTGTTTGGGAACGTGGGACAGAAAAAAGGACACATGAGAGATTAAGTAAGGTGGCACAAGGCGCCGATTCTTGATCTCTGGGTGCGCTATTTCCGCAACCAAGTGAACTGTAATCTGGACGACTTACTTTTTGGGTTGTATGCGATGTGAGTCGTATCATTGAGAACAGAGCCGTGCAAGTGACATCATATGCAGGCTGCACTCGGCCCTCTCTCCACCTCGTTCACCGGTCTACATGGCGTGACTGTGATCCCTCTCCAATTGGTCCGTGTCGCGTTTCAGACTCACTCCGAGGGAAAGAGCCTGTTTTAGGCTTCCCGTCCCAGCCGTTAATGGTGGAGGGCATTGTGGCCATTGTCCCCTCCTTCTGTCGGAGGCGGTCGATATGAGATCGTAGTGGGGAGAGTTCGGATGCGCTGGCCGAGAAGTGATCCGTATAGATTAACCCGGAGCAGATAGATTACAGACCCAGAAGTTCGTCACGGCTATCGTTCCTTTTGTTCCCTGCGTCGGGGAGTATGCGCCGTGTTCGTCGGCGACGTCTCGGGGAGGAAAGAAAAAACCTCGAAAATAGGTTGGAATAGCGGTGAAGCAATGCTCTCCCTGTCCCCAAGAATTGGTCATCTTATCTGGGTGGAAGAGTATGATATCGTGCTGGGGTGCGGAAGAGGAATCGATGCATTGGCCGTATATAGCTAGACTAACCGCACTATTTCATGGTGTACCGTGGAATCATGTCCGTGCTGGGAGGCTTTGAATGGGTGGAGACGGTAGCAAAAGTTGGTTGACTTGCTTGAGCCTTGTCGGGCCATGGCGAATAACAGGCGCTGGAGGAGGGTTCCTGACAAGCGTTCCATGGTCGATGCTCGGTAATCGGACCTAAGTTTAGGACTGCGAGGTCTTGGAATGGGGCCAAACTGTATTCGAGAGATCCTTCGTTGGGAGGATTGGAGGGGAGGACTGGGTTTTGGGAGTATGGAGAATCGAAAATGGGAGAAGAGAGTCGGATTCCTCCGAGGATGGTTGTGTGTGTGTGTGTGTGTGTGTGTGTGTGTGTGTGTGTGTGTGTGTGTGTGTGTGTGTGTGTGTATGTGTATGTCGTATCAAGAAAATCTTATGGGTATCATCTGACTAGGAATTCGTTCTTGTCTGGATGTTTAGCGTTTTTGGTGATGCTCTTCACATGGTCCCCTGCCTCAGGCTCGTGTTTTGCCCATGTGGCGCCATGTGGAATGTATAATCAGGAGTTGATGTATGCCATCGAGCAGTTTTGAACCGCGCATGATCAACACGGCAGGGGAAAAAGTCAATTGAAGGCGAAGAATGAACAGAAATCAATTTATGGAAGTTTCGATGCAGTAGGCAGCGAGATCAAAAGGTGATCTGTCACGCCGGAGAAGCCGATCCATGGGCGATGAGATCAGTCAAGAATGAAGAGGAACCGTGGGACATTGGATCAACCATCCCTACCGACTATCAAACTATAAAGATATGCAATCATTTGTCTACATACGGGTATACAGCGTACAAGATGACTCGAGAGATCTTGCATAACATCGACGGAACTCCGGCCGGCATTAAGTCCGTCTGCATTCATAATTTGAAATTGGATAGAAATTAATAAGATAAAAAAAAAGAGTTACCCCTGAAAATTCTGGAACTCCTGAAACAAGAGCGCGTCCGTGCACGGGCTCTTTGTCGAAGACACGCCAAGTGGACTCTCCACTGCCGTCTCGGAGCAATTGCGTTCAATGCGCTTCCTTCTTTCTTTTCTCTGTGCCTTCTTCCTGGTCAATCTTTCCTCGACTTTGATTCTCCTAGACCCAATCCGGTTCTTTTCTCTTTTTTTATTTTTTTATTTTTTTTTATTTTCTCTCTCTCTTGTGTTGACTTGTTTATTATTATTATTATTATTATTATTATTATTACTTCCCCCTCTCCTTCATTCCCGTCCATTCCTTCTGCAGGAATCCATTAGTCTGCGTTCTAGCCGCACCGTCGTGAACCTCCCAAGGCAACTAACTAACTATACAACCTGCCATCATACTATTACTATTTTTGATTCTTATTACATTACTTTTAATTTTCCTTCCCTTCGCTCCCGTTGATTCTCTCTTTTCCTCTCTTTCTTCCCCCCTCTTCCCTCCCTGTTCTTGGCCAAACGCAATGCATCAGAGCCCACTATCATTCCCCCCATGCCGTCCCCTGTTTGATAAGCTTCAGTGATTCCCCAGTCTCGTCCCCATTGTGGCGGTAATCTTCCGCGTGGTGAAGTTTATTTCGTCTGCCCCCGAAGGCTGTCCTGGTCCCTCGTTCGTGGATTTAGTCTCGACGCTGCGCCCTGTTCACGTCTCTCATTTTTGGTTCCTCTGTGGAGGAATGCCGGGTGGTTCGATGTGGACGCCATATCACCGTACTGCCAACCTAGTCGCTCCCTTTCTGGTCTCTCTTTGTTGGTAAGTCGTTACAGTCGCGTAGACCGGTGGATTACGACTGACCTATGGTCAGGTCCGGCAACCTATAGATGATGATTTTATCTCCGGTCAAGGTTAGCGCTTCGTAGTTGCTGGCACTCAATAACGCTGACTCCCCGCTTCGATAGCCTGACCTGATACCGTCGAAATTTTGAGATACCCATTCATCGACCTTGCATTTGAAGCCTTTCTTTTCTATTTGGACTGTCGCTACCTCTGTTCGATCACCTGTTGCCTATCTAGTGGTACACCACTGCATCCGCTCATTTTATGAACCTGCCATCACCTTGCACAATTCGACCGCTTGACTCGGATACAGCGCCATTGAGATCCCTTCAGCATGTCCCGCCCAAGCCTCAGTATTGGAAGCGACTCCCTACGAAGTTGTCTAGCCCCTCGAGATCAATCAACCGACTCCGACTCCGACATCTGTTACGACACAGCCCTGCCACCCATCACTTCTAAGCAGTTGATGATCAACTCTCGCTCATACCGCGGCTCCGACCCGTCCATCGTGGTAGGAAGCTTTCGTGGAAACCAAAAAGCTGCCGCCGCCCTCGGTTTCGCCCCGGACATGTCGAGCATGACTCGGGGGCCCAACGCCCATCGCCGGACCGGAAGCACTCTAAAGACCGTCATGAGGAAAATCTTCACCCGCAAAGCACGGGGCTCGGCAGACGGCTGCGAGGAGGCTTTGCCGGACTTTCGGCTCAACAATCCCCAGGAATCGCGGCCCGATAAGGACACCACCAATTACGCCGCGCTCTCGAATTCATTGAAATCGAAATACAGCAGCCCGATCCGGGAAGAGCCCAAGGATCCGAAAGCGTTTGAAGATACATTGTTGAAGCTCGAAATGAGGCCACCTCGAACCCGCCGAGCCACATTGCCCAGCTTAGTCTTCTCGGACGACGATGAGTCGCGTGATGCCCTCGATGCGTTGATTCATTCGGACCCCACGGAGAGTCGAAGTAAAAGTCCCTGCCTCGGCGATCATGATGAGCGACGGCGCGAGCTCCTGCGCAGCAAACGACGCTCGCGGAGCGCAACCGCTCTGCGAGGCTTGGCCAAGCACCACCGGATGTCTCCGATTCAATGGCGACGACGTAGCATCGAGTCGTACGTCACGTCAACTGCTTGTGGCGCCGCTTCCGACACCGATTTGATGTCCATCCGACCCCCGACACGGGGCACGGCAGTCAGTGCCCCACAGACGGCCGTGGAGCCGTCTGTGGATGGCGCGAGCCCTTCGGATGACCCGGTGGACGAAGAGAGCATCCCCCCAAATGTCGGCACGTTGGTCAGCGCCATGCAGCACGACGACAGTATCTCATTGGAGCAGCGATTGACCACCTTGGAGGTGAAGCTGATTGACCTGGAATTTGCCATCGCCCGCATGCAGACCGAACGCAGTGAACCTTCGCCCACGGCGACGTCCAGCCGGAAGCAATCACAGAATTCCTCGACCGAGCACAAGCGCAAAAAGTCTACGACGCAGCCCCCACCGTCCGGCAGTGAGGCGACGTCGAGCGGAGGATCGGCGGGAGATCGGCCGCTGAGCACGGCCACCATCCGCCCCAGCACACAGCAGCTGCATCGTTCCAAAACCTTACAAAGTCCCTCCTTAAGCTCACTCAGTGATCATAACGCCGGCATCTCGGTAGAGCAGTACAGCGCTTTGGTCATGCTCCTGCGGCGTGAACAAAACGCCCGCCGCAGCCTCGAACACGAGGTCTCCGGACTCCGCTCGGATATTCAGCAGCTGCAACAGCTGGCCCAAAATTCCATGGGTCTCAAAACGATGTACCCAATCCGGAACGCTGACTCGCAGGAGTTCATGCGGCCGGACTCCAACACGATGGGGTATTCACAGACGACCCCTGTCCGTACCGAACAGAAACTCGGTCCCCCCTACGAGAGTGATTCGGACTACGATCGATCTGACACGCCGACGGAGGACACATTTCGGTCTCAATGGCCGCCAAACCGGCGACTGGAAATTGGGAACATGATCTGATTGAGTCGCTGGCTTGTGACCGGCGCTTAACCTTGGGTGATTTATTATCAGCACTGCATAATGACAGGGTTTCTTACCAGGAGGGAGGCGGTCTTCCTCACGATTTAATCCTTGCATTTGGCTATTGGCCATTCCCTCCACTACTCTTCTGTTTTATTACGTTCCCAGCTCACGACTATGTAATGATTGGTCATTCTGCTAGATTGTTCTCAGCAATGTTATCATCCTGGATATTAGATAGCACGGGTTGCTTATAGATTCGAATATATATATTCCACTAGTTATCATGCAATCACAAAATAAATCAACTCTGTCCAAGAGATTCAAAGGAATAAATACTATCGTACAATATTAATGCTGTTCAATAAATACCAAATAATAAATCTAAAATACAAACCACACCCTCCAACCAACCCGAATGAATCCCTTAGTCCGGTAAACCATCCATAGTATGCCATCAATCTCACCCCGATCTATAATATTAATAATAAAAAAAAATCAGTCTATCTTCTTCCCCTCCGCCACATCACCCTCCTCCTCAATCTTCAACCTCTTCCCAAACAACACAGTCCGCCCCAACCCATACCCAACACTATACCCAATATAAGCCCCGATGACAATCGTAATCGGAAACGCCTGCCACGGCCGATCCCTGCAGGAATCATAAATTAGCACATAATCACCCAAACCCAACATCAACCAACCAAGCACCCCCCCCCCC